CAAACATCTGTTTCTCTCAATACCTCCCCCTTCATCTTAGGCTGTGAGCTTTCCAAGGACATGGAGCCCTGCAGCCACAGGTCCTAGAACACAGGGTCTGACAAATAGCATTCAAAATATTGAGTGAATGACCAGCTGATGATAGGATCAAGGAATGAAGGACAAGACCAAAATATGCCTACTGTGAACAGGAGAAGGGCTCATCCAGGTTCTTTTCCACTTACAACAGGAAGGATTTTGCAGGTATAATGTAATAGTCATTTACAAATGTTTATAAGCCTTTCAAGAGTGGTTATGAAACCAGTGTTTGGAAAGCCAATGGACTGAGCAACTGTTTTCAAGTTGTGGCACCAAAGTTGGTATATTTGTGGAACACGAAGTAGAAGTGTGAAAAATAGGTATCAGGGGTTTCTTTTATTTAAAAAAGTCAAAATGAAGCAACATGTCTTTTGTGTTTTGGGAGAAACCCCAGAAGAAATGTGGAAAAAAGAAGAGAGTTCATCTCCTACAAAATAGAAATACCATTCAGAAGTTCCAAACTTAACATTCATCATTTCATGGATGATTTTAATGAAATGCATCTATATTTTTGTGTGTGTCAGGAGGAAAGCTTGTGTGTAAACATGAATTATATCTGGTTGTGATTCCTTGACTGCATACCTAAAAATATGCAATGGTATTTTGTTTGCAATTGCACATAGGAAAAATGGAAGAACAGATGATTTTTCATGCTGTATTTTGTATGGCAGGGGTTCAAGCAAGCACTTTCCTATTCCTACTGTTTGTGGATGAGAAAAACCAGACTCACAGCATTTTTATTTAAAAATCATGTAGCTATTTGGTGGCTGAGCTAGGATCAGACCGCAGTCTCTTTGTTTCTTTCTCCTTTCCCACCTCTGTTTTGTATTCTTTTCATTTTAAAACCACAATCTGAAGTAGCTTTGGTTTAAATAATAGTCCAAGCATTCAATAAACATGTTTGGAGTGTTTACCATGTGCCTGGCACTGTGCTACATGCTAGGAGGTAAAAAACACATAAATTCCTGCATTCAAGGAATATATTTTGTCCTGTTTGTAAGTGGCAGGCTCTATGCTCGGTTCTGGGGAGCTCTTTCCTCAGAGTTAACACTCCTGTTGGGGCATGCAACATTAGTCAATGAATCATACAATTAGCAAGTTTGTGACAGGGACAGAAAAGAGATTAGGTTCCATAAGTATATAATCTTTCCAACATTTTCTGTCTTTCCAACATTTGAAGATTCTTGTCTCTAGGTTCAATTTGATTGTGCAATTACTGTTAATGGAGGAAAAAAAAACTTGAAGAAGCAGAAATAAAAAGTTGCACTAGATAAATAATAATCCTAGTGCTTTATGGGCTCTGTTGTGGCTTGGGGTTTATGAGGGGAAACAATACAATATAGGACATACATTTTATAAGATTATTTCATCATAGTCACCCAAAGAATCATATACAAAAGAGTACAGGAAATCTGTCCACATACTAAGGCCAAAGAATCCATCTAAGGGCCTGGATCCCATGGCAATGTCCTGCATGAATCCAGCTGAAAACCTCGAGGTCATAACAATGTCCCCCACGAGTCCAACTGGAGGCCAAGAGCCCACGACAACACCTCATGCAGGCTTATTTCCTGGATCTGCTGTGGGAAGGCCCAAAGGTCATTGGTGGAAGCTAAAAAGTCTGTGCCAGCAGGATGAAGGATCTGTGCTAGCAGGCTGAGGGATCTGCACTGGAGCCAGGAAGCAGTGCTCAAAGTAAGAATCAGAGCTTCCCCAAAAAGTACAATGAGGTCCTCGGCAATAGTGAGTGAGGTCCTGAGCTCCTCCAGTGATAACAGCCAAGTTCCCATCAGGAAAGCCAACATGACAAGCTTCTCCAGGAGACTGAGCAGTGGGCCATCTTCCCCTCCAGAGTCAGGAAGCAATCTTCAAAGTAAGGACCAGAGCTCCCCCAAATTGAACCGTAGCCATTCTCAGTGACAATAAGGTCCCAAGCTCAATGATGAGAGCAGCCAGAGTTTATCAGGAATGGAAGCATGACAAGCTCCTCCAGGAAAACCAACAGCTCCTTACAGCTTCCAACAGCTTCACCTCTTTTCTCCCGTTCTTTTTATTTTGGTCGCAACATACCTCGGGTGGGCCTCCCACACCCAGCACCATGCTGGCTGAGTTCGCTGGGTGTTACAAGTTGACCACCAGTTGTCAACCCACCATAGGCTCGAAGGAAGGTTTTAGAAGAGAAGAGGAAGCTAGGCATGGTAGTTCTTGCACACAGTCCCAGCACTCTGGGAGGCTAAAGAGGGGGATCACAAATTGAAGCCCAGCCTGGGCAATTTAGCAACTTAGTGAGAACATGGCCCAAAATAAAATATGAAAAGAGGAGGTTAGCTCAGTGTGACATCCCTAGGTTCAAAAAAAAAAAAAAAAAAAAGAGGAAGAAAAGGAGGAAAGGGAGAGGGTTATGGAGGTGTATTTTAGATACTGAGAAAGAATGATGGTGTCAGAGCTATTAAATCTGTTCACGAAATGTTTTAGTTTTCCCTCCCTTCCAAACAACTTGTAGGTATTATAGATTGCATAAACAGTCTTCATTTTCCACTCTTCTCTGTGGAACTTCTTTAATGTTCTCCTGCAATGAGTGGGGTACAATATTCTGCTCTGGGCTTAGCCATGTAACTGGCTGGGCCAGTAGAAGGAAGTGAAAGTGATGACATGACAGCTCCAAGCCTGTAGGTATTTCATGACTATTTTCTGCTCATTCATGCTGGCGACACTGCTATGAGAACATGCCTTGGCTAGCCTGTGGGAGGATTGGAGATGCTTGGAACTGAGTTGAGTTTCCCAATTACCCTAGATGAGGCCAACTTATAAAGCAGATAGCCAGCTGACTTCTACACGTGTGAGTCCAGTCAAGATCAGCAAAGCCACCTAGCTGATCCTAGCTAAGTGAGCAACAGAGGCTTATCATTGAAGGCCACAAAGGTGTGGTGGTTTTTTCACAGTATTACTGCAACTATGCCTAAACAGTGTAGTAGAACTGAACCTTTTAGCCCTAGGAGAGGACCCGAGTTCTAGTAGTGAGAACAAAAGTAATAATGCCATATTTGGGGTGGGGCATTTAATTGCTGAGTTGAAATTCTCTAGAACTCTCTTTTCCCCTAGCACTCTAACAAAAATCTTTGGAGGGGTGGCTACTCCATTATCCTGGGTCCCAGAGGACTAAAATGAGCTAACCATCCAGCCAGAGGGAGTTTTCTTGAGCCATTGAGACTTTGGAGTTGTTAGTTATTATTGCATGAGAGGTTAGACTGACTGAATGAGATGGGCAGGGCATTTTAGAAATTTGTGAAAGGTTATTGCTTCCTCTTTGATGCTTTTGGAGAGATTGCAGTAAATACATTGCATTTTCAAATTGTGCTTTTGGTTAGTGTGCTACTTTAATTTGCTTGCTAACCTACTGACTGGCCTAGATTTTGGAAGAGCTACAGAATTACCTTCCAAATACCTTGTAAGTTTTCCCAAATAGAAAAAGTGCTCTGATGTTGGGCAATGTAATGTCAATTTGGCTCCAACAAATTGGAAATATTTCTTCTCTCTCTAGATCATATATTATCACAGTAAAAGGAATGCATCCTTTTTGTTGTGGGTGAAAGGGCAAGAAGATAGAGCTTCACAAATCAACAAAGGAAAATCCCTTAGCAACATACAACTTTCCAACCCTAATGTATCTGAAATACACACAGAGAAGAAAACAAGGGAGGAAATCTTTGTGGCTTTATTCTATACTTACATGATTGGTGGCAATGTAAAATTACACAGTTATTTTAAAACATTTTATAGTTTCTTAAAAAGTTATACCTATATCTACCATATATGACCCAACTATTCCACTCTAAGACTTCACCAAACAGAAATGATAGCATACATTCATTTATATGGGAATTTTCATAGTAGCTTTATATGGAAAACCCAAAAACTGGAGACAACATCAATGGTTATCAACAGATGAATCAATAAACAAATTATGGTCCATCAATACTATGAAATACAATTCAGTCATAAAAAGAATAAGCTAGTGGTATCCCAGCAACACAACCAAACCTCAAAACAATCATCCCAAATTCATGATAGATGAAAGAAACCAGGGGTGTGTGTGTGTAAGAGAGAGACAGAGATAGACAGACAGACAGAAAGAGAGGTCTATCAAACTCATTTATATAAATTTCTAGAAAATAGTGACTCATTTAAGGAATGGGAAGCATCAGCAGTTGCCAGGTTGGGATAGAAACAGATTACAGAGACACGCGAGGAAATAAGCGTGCTTTTACGGTCATAACTGTGTTCATTCAGCGCTGGTTGTTGACGTTACTGATTTTATGGACTGTGGTGGAGCGGACACCATAAAACAGGAGCGTCTTGTCAGATTACATAACTGATAAACTAACCATGAGGATGGTGAAAAGGTCAAGAGGAGCGAACTATTCATTTATAAGGCTATTTCCCAGAGCCTGAAAGTTCTAGGAAAAGAACCTTTCAATTCTTTTTTTTTTTTTTTTTTTTTGGGTTTTTCTCCGGTACCGGGAACCGAACTCACGACCTTGCGCTTGCCAGGCAAGCGCTTTTGCCGCTGAGCTAAATCCCCAGCCCCACCTTTCAATTCTTGATGCGCTTGTCTCCTTGCTTCTCTATTAATTGTTTCTGTACAATTCCTTAGTCCTTAAACCAAGTTTAGAATGGAATGCAGGGACCACAGGATTGAATGACTTTTGCTGCCCCTATTGAGATCCTAAAACATTGCGAGGCCTCTAGAGTACAGAATTCCCAGCGTCCATCTGCAGAAAACTATGATTCCCAGCAGGTGTCGAGTCCTGAGCGAAGGGGCCTCCTGGGCGGAGTTTGGGCAAGATCCACCTTCTGATTGGTTGTAAACAGAAAGGGGCGTGGCGCGCGGGGTTGGTGCGGTCCGCAGGTACGGGTGCCGCCGAGGCCGGCGCTCGAATTTCCCGGGCCTGAAGCGCGGGGCCTGCCGGGAAGGGGTCGGACGGTTACTGCCCGCCCCGCAGTGAGGGGCTTCGACATGCAGAGCACTGACCTGGGCAACAAGGAGAGCGGCAAGATATGGCACCGGAAGCCCTCGCCGGCCACTCGGGACGGGTAAAGGCCGTCGCAGAGGGCGCGGGCTGGGAGACGCGGGAGGCTGCGGAGGGCTCGGCGCCCGAGGGGCCGGCGCGAGATGCGAGGGCCGGGCCTGGCTCGTGCGGGCTCTCGCCCCGCGGGCGGGACGTCGGGAGCGGGTGGCTCGGGCGGGCTTCGCGCCCCGAAGGGTCCCCCGGCTCGGGGTCGTAGGGCGCGCCTCGGGAGTGCCAGGGCCGAGCCGCTTTTCTGTCGGAGCGCCGCGGCGGCACTCCTGGCGCTTAGTGCACTCGCTCCGGAGTAACGTAACCGTCGCAACCGGCAGCGAGCGCTAGGAGGGGATGCGGGAAGGAGCAGTGTTCTCCGGCCTTGCAAAATTTCATGCACCTTTAAGTCAGTGCACGTACGGTTACACGCGTTCGTCTCCCATTTGTTGAATGACTGCTAGGTGTCAGGACGCGTATGTGTGTGGTGCAGAGAGACGCAAAAAAGTTGAAAATAAGTGTTGATTTATTAGCTCTGTGACCATGCCCAGTTAATTACTGTAACTAGGGACAACTAGGCTTAGTAGACACGTTTTCCTTACATTAGGTGCTCAGGAAAAACGTGATGTTCTTATTACGCAGTGAGTTTAAGTACTGAGGAAATTTTGTCAGGCTACTTTTGAGCAGTTGAAATGAAGTTGCTCCAAAAATGCTTGTGTGTGATTTATGTGAAAAAACGAGGAACAAAATGTAGCCATTGTTGTTACATCTATATGGCAGGATTATACTCGTTTACTTCCTAGTGTTTTAAAGTATTTTCCATATTTTGAACAATGCTCATCTAATTTTGTCCTCAGAACGTGTGATGTTACAGAAAAGACTGAAGGGAAAAGTTATTTGTTTTGTCCAAGTTGCCAAGGAAAGTTTTGATGTCATTTCCGAACATTAATTTTTGTGTTTTTAGATCCCCGAGGCCCACATAGAAATAAGCAGTATTAAGTGCAGTAATTCCAGTAATTCAGGAGGCTAAGATGGGAAGACTGAGAGTTTGAGGCCACCCTGGCCTCAGAATAAAAAATAAAGTAGCTTGGAGTGTAGCCTTGCATGGATGAGGTCCCTGTGTTCAATTCAGAGTGCCAACAAGAAGCAGTGTCTTAGTTACTTTTTTCCTTGTTGAGACAAAGTGCCTAACACCCAAAGTTAAATGAGGAAAGGATTATTTGTCTCACAGCATGTAGAGGTTTCAGTTCATAGTTGGCTGACTCCAAGGCAGGTGGCATGACTTGGGCATCACAGAGGAGAAACAGTTCATGGCAGATAGAAGGCAATAAAGCAGCAAGCAACGGCAGCAGCATCAAGTGACAGCAACCACACCAGCCCTCTTTCTGTCTCATATTCTGTCCAGGGTACATGCCGTTAGGGTGATAGCAGTCACACCCAGTATGAGGCTTCCCATTATCCACTCTCAGAACGATGCCAAACCAGTGGACTGATTTAGTAATCACACACCCCTGAAGCAGCATCACACACTAGATTCAGCCACCTCTGGAAAGCTCCACCTATGACCACAGGAGGCTTGCGGGGCATACAAGCCGTAACAAGCAGTATAAGAACTTTGCTATTTGCTTTAATGATCCTAAATAGCTGTATGGTTAGGTAAACATGAAGAAAATGTTTAAATCATTTATTTTAATTTAGCATGCTTTAATGAGACAGATGTTTCTAAGTATTAAAAGTGAGAAATTCTCCAAAAAATTAATTTAAAAAAATTTCATGATTAAAAACTTATTAAGATAGGACAACATTCTTTTTCCTTCAAGACCAGAACATACACACATGTATTATTTTAAGGAGATGTTTTGAGCCACGTTTTATACAGTTCCCTTTCACTTTCAGTAGATATGTGTCATAGTATCCTCGTCTCAAAAATATAGTAACTTTAAACAAATATACCTGCATACTCTTTGTTTTTTTAAAATCAGTACTGGGAATTAAACTCAGGGCCTTTACTCTGAGCTACATCCCCAGGCTTTTAAAAATTTTTTTATTTCAGGACAGTTCTCCCTAAATCGCTCAGGCTGAGCTCAAACTTGTGATCCTCCTGCTTCAGGTCCCCAGAGTGCTAGGATTGCAGTTGTGTGCCACCACGACCAGAGAGCTGTATGTTTTTAATAAAGTTTGTCCATGAAAGTAGTATGTGATTGTTAACAAATGTATATGAAATATAGGAAAGTGGGAAGAAGGGGGAGAATCACCCACATACCTGTTACCTGCAAATGCCTGCTATTTGACATGATAATCTTCTCTATGTAGATTTTTCTTTTCTTTCAGTTTTTCCTTTAATTGTGTGTATGTGTGCATGTGTATTTATCAGCTGTTTAAAACCTAGACTGTTTTCACTTTCATGTGGCTTTTTAAGCATTCTGTATGTTCCTATAGGATAATATTGAAAAATAAACTTCCTTTCTTAGTTTTTGAACACATGGGCAGTTAACATGAGTGTGAATGACGTAAAACATTTGTTCCTAAAGCAGGCATATTTTGAGTGCTTGGGCTGTACTGTGGGCCAGGTGTAGAAATACAGTAATGAGCAAGCAATGGTCCTTGTTTTTACAGAGCACACCTGCAGGGTATTATAGTAGGTCTGTTAGCAATGAAAATAGAATTCATGTGTGCTTAACTCACTTGGAAGCATTTTACATCACAGAAACAAAATTTTATTGCATTTGTCTATCACTCTGTAGTCCGGGCTGGTCTCACACTTGCAGTGATCCTTCTGCTTTAGCCTCTTGAGTGCTGGAGTTACAAGCAGATGGTTTTGTTTAAAGTATTGTACTACTAATTGTAAGTTCCATAAGGGCAAGGACCATGTCAGTTATTCTTAGCTACTAGCTTGCTCAGCGTTTGACATATCCTAAGTTTTCAAGTATTTGATAAAGAGTAGCTACTTTGATAATGAAAAAGTTTTTAAACTATTTTCAGAGATCCTTAAGATTGATTTGAGGAGGAGGAGAATGAACGGCAACAGGGAGAGAGGAAGAATGGGTAGGCAAAAAAGGCTTTAAAGTTAGTAAAGTGTATTTTTAAAGCTGCGTTTGTCATATACCAAGTAACACTTGACATAGAATTTAATGTTTAGGTGTTTTGGTTTTTGTTTTAATAGAATTATAGTGAACATTATTCATAGCACTTCTGATTACCATCCAAAAGTTCTGCGATTTTTGAATGTGGCTTTTGATGGCTCCGGAGATTGTTTACTTGCTGGGGACCATCAAGGAAATATCTATGTTTTTGACTTGCATGGAAACAGGTAAGCCAATGTTTTTAATATTTATCTCATTTAACGAATTATTCACTGTTTTAGTATCTGCTATTCATTATTTGCTCAGAAAAAGTTTTACTAAGTTCTATATTTCAGGAACCTCAGAAAAACAGTCCTAAGCACTAAAGAAAGTAGGAAAGGATAGAAAGATACTGTTAATTTTTTTAGACTATTAAAGTAGTGGTCTTAATAGTATCTCTACTAGTTTGGATTTTTGTTTTTAAATTTAAAAATTGTTGCCAGTTTATCAGTTAATTTCCGGTACTTCATTAGGCTGCTTAGAAAAACATAATTTTCTTCGTAAAGTACTGTTACAGTGTACTAGATTTAATAATTTTATAGGATCTTCAGTCTTCTTTCTCTTGCCCATCCCTTGTGGAACCACTTAGTCCGAAAGTTAGGTAGGACTGATTGATCAAGGTAAGTATCCATGCAGTAGTTCTCTGGGGGAGGAGGAACTGCAAAAAAAAAAAAAAAAAAATAGAAGTGCTATGTGTGTGAGAATGAGCGAGTTATATTTACGTATATTCCATAGCTTCATCTAGTCAGGATAGGTAGGGAGCAACAATATACCAGTAACAGTGAATATACCCAGTCCCCAGTTCTTTTCTTTTAAACACCATTCTTTACTAAAAGGAATCTCATGCTTATAGAAATGGCCAGTTTTATAATTCGAGCAGGGATAGTACAAGATGAGTCTGTGACATTTTGTTGTTAGAAAGAACTTATTCAAAAAATGATGGGAATCTGTCAAAAGAATGTAGATGCCAGTTTGAAAGAGCGCCCTCTCCGGCCATACTGTGGATCATTTAAGCGTATAAATAATGATGTAATGGGCTATAATCCCTTGAATAAAATAAAAATCCATGAGTTCCTGGTATAAGCAACAAATAAATGGTTTATTAGGAGTGGAATGGCACATCATTACAAAGTACCTCCTAATCTTATTAATTACAGAAGAAAAAAAAATAAGTTTACAATGAAGAAACCTAGCAAACGTTGATGAAATGATCACATTTAATATAACCAGTAGTAGGATGAATCAAAGTTTGTGTGCCACCTCAGAAGATCCAGGGAACATATCCTCACCTTCTGTGATATTCCAGCCAGAGCAGAGAGAGTTTACATGAATCTCATCAGTGGAGCATTCAGACAGAGCTAAATTAGAAACACTTGATAACTGTCCTGTAACTTTAGCAAGGGTCACAGTCGTGAAAGTTGGTTGGTTAAAGACTGAAGGACTCGCAGATGGAGGGAGATTTGGCAAGACATGACAGGCCTGTATCTCTGCTGATCCTTCTGCAGTGAAGGACCGTATGGGACAACTGGCAAAATTTGCGTGGGACTGGGGCTGTGATGGTAGTGATACAGAAATGTAATATTTTGATGGTTGTATGAGGGTTATATAGGAGCATTTCCTTGTTTGTGGGAAATTGAACTTGGTGACTTTTTTGCAAATAGTTAAAAGCAGTAGTACTTATTTATCTGTGATTTATTAGTTAGAAATTAGTTAGAAATTGGTGTATTTTAGATATACATAAAGATCATATTCATCACAGAGAATTTGTGTACATGATATAACTTGTTTTTTCCCATTTTCCTACCATCCCTTCAACCCTATCCATGTTTTCCTCCTTTTCTTGGTTTTTCTACTTATCCTTTCTTTCCTTCCCCCTCAGCTCCTGTTCCCCTCCCCATTTGAACATTGTTGATCATTATTTTTATAGTGACCTTTTTTTTTTTTTTTTTTTTTTTTTGGCAGTATTGGAAATTGAATCCAGTGCCTTTACATTGAGCTATATCCCCAGCCCATACTTTACTTTTTATTTGGAAACAAAGTCTTGCTGAGTCACTAATTTGCCCAGAGTGGTATTGAAGTTACAGTCCTCTTGCCCCAACCACCTAGGGTTATAGGCGTATGCTACCACACCTGGCTGTTTTTGCTCTTTATCAAAAAAGTAATAATATGAATTTTCCCACCCTCAATTCCCTAACCTACTCTGTAACTTCCAATCTTAAGTCAAAATAGCTGTCTCTTCTTTGCTCCTCCTGCTGAACAAAACTGGTTGATAGATTCCATTATAGAATAATAAAATTCAACCTCCAGGATTCTCAATACTTCATTTACTTGCCTGCTCTTATTTACTTTTCCCATTCTCCACTGAGAACCTTTTTGGAAAACTCTGCTAACTTCCTTGCTTCCCTGTGTTGGACACAGCAATTATTCTGACTGCCTGGCCTCCTAATTCATGAGAAAACAGGTGCCTTCGGGCTTCCTTTCCTTCTCCTTCATTACAACCTCAAATATATGTTTGACATCCATGCTTGTCACTTCACTCATAAAGTAGGTAGTCTTACTTTCTTCCTGTACTAATTCCTGTCTTCCAGAGCCTCTCCAAGGACTTTGCACCATGAGAGTTTCTCTCTTATTTTGTTCATTGTCCCTGTTTACTGTCTGTTGTAGTGTAGAAAAAAATCATTTTTACTGTGCCTTTCTAAATTTCAGCTGGGGCTCATGTAGCAAAAGACAGATTAGCAAAGGGAAGATAAGAAAGTTATTAACATGAATAGTAGTGTATCCCATGAGAGTACTCATAAATGAGTGTCTTAGGTTCCAACTTGTGACATCTTGCAACAAAGAACAGTAATGCATTTCTAAAGAAATGACAATACAAAAGAAAAGGACCTTGATTCTCTAAGGTCAGTAAATTGTGGGAAGGCAAGTATATGGGAAGATAAGAGTAGACAAAGACTAGTTACCAAAGTCTGTTATGTAGATTACTGCGAGACCATCTCCAAGATGATAAAGGCCTAAAGTTATAGCTGGTAGTCAGCCTTTGTCTTTCATGACGCTGAGGGAAAGGACATCCTTATAAGTCTATACATGTTATGCAGACTTTGAGGCAAATAATGGGAAGGCAGAGATCTTTTCATGTATCTTAGTTGCTTGCAGCTCAAAATACTCCTTATGCCAAAGTGGATCTTTTAGAGTCACAAGCATGTTCCGCCATGCTTCACTGAGTGAGCATGGTTGAACTGAGCCACAATTTGAAATCAGATATTATTATAAAGGGTTCTCTACTGGGCTCCCTCAAAATTGTCCTAATTGCCCAGATTCTTTTTTTTTTTTTTTTTGAGGCAGAGCCTTTCTGTGCAGTCTAGGTTGTCCTTCAACTCTCTGTGTAGTCCAGGGTGGCTTCAAACTCACAGTCCTCCTGCCTTAGCCTCCTACGTGCAAGGATTATACTCAAGTGCCACACTATGCCTGGCTCAGTGGTCTGTTTTTTTAAAGAAATTTTTAATAGAATAACTTTATTAAACCAAAAATCTACATACCATTCAATTTACAAATTTAAAATGTAAGATTCAGTAGACTTTAGCACACTGATGAGTTGTACAGCCATAAACACAATCAAACTTAGGTCATTTTTTTCCATCCCAAATCAAAACATTCTACCTACGAGGTGTCATCTACCAATCCCTCCCCCACAGATTTAAGTAACCACTGAGCCACTCTGTCTTTATAGATTTTCCTATTCTGGGAGTTTACTTTTTTTTCTTTCAAAATAGACTATACTCATAACAAGAATAAAGATTTTAACATATCCAAACAAATGTAAATCCTGCAAAGGGAGTACTTACACCATGTTAGAGTGAAACCATACAATATACAAGCTTGTGTGTCTGATTTACTTCACTTAACATTGTGATCTCAAGGTACATCCATTTTCCTACAATCCCTCAAGTTTATCTTTGTTAAGAGAATACTCCACTGTATTTAGGTACCACATTTTCTTCATCCATTCGTCTGTTGGTGGGCATAGAGGCTGATTGCAAGATTTAGCTATTATGAATTATGCTGCCATAAACATAGGTATACAACATCACTGTGGTATGATGTTTTTACCTCTTTGGGGAAGATATCCAAAGGGTGAATAGCTGGGTCAAATGAAATTCTAGTTTTGAGTTTTTTGAGGAATCTCCATACTGATTTCCATAGTGGTTGTATCAGTTTACACGCCTACCAAAAATAAACGAAAGGGTTCCTTTCTTTCCACAGCCTCACCAACATTTGTTATTGATTGATTTCTTGATGGTAGCCATTCTTTCCAGGGCGGAATGCAACTTTAATGTTGGTTTATTTTTAAATTTTTATTTATTGGTATATTTTAGATACATGTAATGGTAACACTCATCATAGGGAATTTGTACCTGTACATGATATATCTTGCTGGTGCTTTTTCCCACTCCCTTCCCCTCACATCAACCTCTCTTCCCCTCTTTTTGTAAATAATACACAAGCTTTGCTTCCATTTTTTTCCTCCTAGTCTTTTTTGTTGCTTGTTCCTTCTTTCCTTTTCCCCTCTGCCCTCTCTTATTCCCCTTTTCATTTGAACATTTTCTTCCCATTTCCCAATATCTATTATACATTTTGGTCTTTACTTACACTTTCAGTTTCTCACACCAGAAAAACCATGCAATATTTGAACGCGTGTCCAGTTAATTTCACGTAAGAGTATTGTCTTAAGGTGCATCTATTTATTTAGAAATGTCTCCAGTCTATCCTTATTCATGGCTAAGTAGTACTCCATTGTATAAAAAGAAAAACACATCTTCTTTATCCATTCATTGGTTGATGGGCATTTGGGTTCTTTCCAAGCCATAACGTTACAAACTGTACCATTACAAACATGGGTGTGCATATATCACTGTGGTATGATACTTCTAATTCTTCTGGAAAGATACCAAGAAGGAGAATAGCTGGGTCAAATGGAACCTCTCGTTTTCATTTTTTGAGGAATCTCCACACTGATTTCCACAGTGGTTGCATCAGTCTGCACACCCACCAACAGTGGGAAGGGATTCCTTTTTCCTTACAGCCCCACCAGCATTTGTTACTGATTTCATGATGATAGCTGTTCTTTCTAGAGTGAGATGGAATCTTAGTGCTGTTTTAATTTGGATCTCTCTCTCTTTTTTTTGTCTTTTGTTTTTTTCCAGAAACGGGAATCAAACTCACACCCTCACGCTTGCCAGGCAGGCAGGTGCTGTGCTGCTGAGCTAAATCCCCAGCCCCTAATTTGGATCTCTTGAATGACCAGTGATTTCAACATATTTTCATATATTTATTTGCCATTTGTAATTCTTCCTCTGAAAAATGTTTATCCGTTTCAGATGCCCATTTTTGGATAGGGTGTTCAAATTTGGGGGATCTGATTCTTTTGAGTTCTTATATTCTAGATATTAGTGCTTTGACTGAGGTACAGCTGGCAAAAATTTTTTCCCACACTGTGGGTTGTCATCATTCTGTTTGTGGGGTTTTTTGCTGTGCAAAAGCTGATTCCAGTTGTTGATTCTTTGTGATAGTTTCTGGCAATTAAGATTTTGTTCATAAAGTCTTTGCCTACACCTATGTCTCTAAGAGTTCTACCTAGTGTTTCAGCATATTTAGTGTTTCTGCTTTAATATTTATATCTTGGACCCATTTCAATTTTAGTTTAGTGTGTGGTGGAATGTATGGGTCTAGTTTCAGTCTTCGGCCTGTTTTTCCAGCACTATTTATTAAAGAAGCTATATTTCTTCCAGTGAAAGTTTTTGGCTCCTTTGTCAGAGATAAGGTGCCTGAGTATGTTTGGAGTTGTTCCTCTATTTTCAAATCTGTTTCATTGATCCTTTGGTCTGTTGGTTTGGTTTTGTTTGCCAGTATCATGTTATTTTTATCGCAGTAGCTTTGTAGTATAACTTTAAGTCAAAGATTATGATGCCCCCTGCCTTCTCTTTGTTAGCCAGAATTGCTGTTGCTATTCTAGATCACTTTTGGTTTCAAATGAATTTTAGGAATGTTTTCTCTAATTCTTGCAGATATACTATTGATATTTTGATCAGGATTACATTAAATCCGTATAACAGTTTTGGAAGTATGACCATTTTCACTCTATTGGTTCTTCCTACCCAAGAGCAAGAGATATCTTTAACATTTTGTGACATCCTCTTCAGCCCTCCTTTTTCAGAGTAGTGTAGTTTTCAATGTAAAGGTCTTGTGCTTCCTTAGTTGATTGATTCCTAAGTTTTTTTTTTTTTTTTGGATGCTATGTGAAAGGAGTTGTTTCCCTTATTTCTCTTAGTGAATTTGTTATCTGTGTACAGGAATGGTGTTGATTTTTGAGTACTGATTTTATATCCAGCTGTGCCACTGAATTTGGTTATTAAATCTAGAAGTCTTCTGGTGGGATTTTTAGGGTCTCCTAGGTAGAGTATCATGTCATTCGCAAATAATGATAGTTTAGCTTCTTCCTTTGCTATCGTTACTGCTTTTATTTCTTTCTCTTGTCAAATTGCTCTGGCTAAAGTTTCCAGAACTATGTTGAATAAGAGTGGAGACAGTGGACGTCCTTGTTAGAGTGAAAGCTTTTGGTTTTTGACCATTTAGTGTGATGTTGGTTTCTGATAAATGGCTTTTACTAGATTGAGATAAAGACCTTCTATTCCAATTTTCTGTAGGGTTTTTGTCTTGAATGGGTGTTGGACTTTGTCAGTCACATTTTCTGCATCTATTGAGATGATCATATAGTTTTTGACCTTAATATGGTGTATTACATTTATTGATTTGAGTACATTGAACCATCCCTGAAGCTCTGGGAATCCAACTTGGTTATGGTGTAAAATCTTGATGATTTGCTGCATTCTGTTTGCCAGTATCTTATTGAGGACTTTGCATCTGTCTTCATTAGGGAGGTTGGCCTGTAGTTCTCTTTCTTAGTTGGGTCCTTTTATGATTTCAGTATCAGGGTAATGCTTGCGTCCAGGAATGTATTTGGAAGTATTGCTTCCCTTTCAGTTTTATTAAAGAGTTTGAGAAGTAGTGGTATTAGGTCTTCTCTAAATTTCTTGTAGAATTCAGCAGTGAACCTGTCAGGGCCCGGGCTTTTCTTTGTTGGTAGGTGGGGGGTTTTTTTGGTACTAGAAATGGAACTCAGGACCTTGCGCTTGCCAGGCAGGCACTGTGCCACTGAGGTATATCGTGGACTCTGGTAGGTTTTTAATTATGTCTTTAATTTCACTGATAGATACTGGTTTCTTTAGGATTTTTGTATCTTCTTGATTCAGCTTTGGTAATTCATATATATCTTGGAATCTGTCCAGTTTTTTCTGCGTTTTCTCTTATTGGAACATAAGTTCTCTATTGAAAGAACAGTTAATGTTTAATTGTTTGATCAGTCTTGCATACCTATATCTGGTAATCTGAGCAACTACTTTGAAGATAGCAATAAGTAATACAACAACCATTGTTGATTTCCTATCATCTTATTTTGAAATTCTGTATCATTTTTATAGTTTTTGTGTTGTTTTGTCTTTGTTTTTGTTATTTTGTTTTTGTTCTTTTTAAAGTAAAAAAAAAAAGAATACAAGTTCTCAAAGTAGGTATAGATGATCTTCTGGATTTCTGTAGGGTCTGCAGTAATCTCCCCCTTTTCATTCCTAATTGCATGGATTTGAGTCCTTTCTTTTTTTGATAAGGTTGGCTAAGGGTTTGTCAATTTTATTTAATCTTTCAAAGAACCAACTCTTTGATTGATTGATTCTTTGTATTGTTTTCTTAGTCTCCAGTGCATTAATTTCTGCTCTGATCTTTATAATTTCCTCCCTCATACAATTGGGCTTTACTTGCTTTTCTTTTTTCTAGAAGCTTAAGGTTTAACATTAAGTTATTTTTACTTGCTCTGTTTTCCTGATATGGGTATTCACTGCTATAAATTTCCCTCTTAGGACTGCTTTCATTGTGTCCCATAAGTTCCGGTGTGTTGCATTGTCATTATCACTTAATTATAGAAACTGTCTCATTTCTTCAACTTCATCTGTGACCTATTGGTTGTTCAGGAGGATGTTATTTAATTTCCATGTGTTTGTGAAGTTCTTGTGGTTTCTTTTGCCATTGATTTCTTCCAATTTCATTGCACTTTATGTCTGCAGGTTTGAACTGCTCCTCTCTCGTAGTGAGTCCCGACTCTGGAAGAAGGCCCTGCCAACTTCCTCCTTCTTTGTTGAAGTTTCTCTCTTTGCTGTCCCTGTGGGCTTCAGTTCTCACTTCAGGTCCTTCCTGGGTCCAGTGGGCCCACTTCCCTCTTGTCTTCCTTGCATTGCTGTATTTCAGTGTCTGGACAGCAACTTTCAGAGAGGCTTTTTCTCTGCTGCTTCCACCATCTTCCTGAAAGTCCGAAAATTTAAAATAACACATGTAGACCATGTTGTATTTTTTTGACAGAATGGCTCTAAATGTTTTATATGAGCCTTTGCCTCAGCATGTTTAAAATGAGAATTAGTATTTCCTACCCTCAAACTTGCTCCCTTTTGCCTAAGCTCAGTGCTTAGTTTTTTAATAAACTCTGTGTGTGAAATGTTCTATTAAGTACTTATCATGTATTACTTAATAATCAAGACAGCCTTATAAAATCTTTGTTCTTATCTTCATTTGACATGTGAGACAGTTCTCTTTTTTTCTTCTGCACACATATTTATACATACCAAGCCTCTCTCTGCTGAACTTCTGAAACCTCTCTTTGTCCCTTCTGTTATGTACCTGAATCTCTGATTGAGATTCTGTCTGGCAGCTTTCTAAATGAGCTCCTGTTATTTTACTTGTTGCTGAGACAAAATACGCAACACCCAAAGGGGGACAGGTTTATTTGGCATACAGTGTATAGAGGTATCAGTCCATAATCCACTGGCTGCTAGGCAGGGTGGCACATGGTAGAGGGGTAACAATAGTTCTTGGTAGAAAAGAGCAAAAACGAGAGAGAGCAAGAGGAGCTTCTTTCTGTCCCTTATATTGTATCCAGTCTACCAGGATTAGGACTGTGCCAGTCCAATCAGTGGATGGATCCAGCAACCACCCACCTTAATCCCAACACCTTCAATCCCAGCATTGCACTACAAATCAATCTCATACTCTAGATTGAGCCACCTCCAATAAACCCCTCTAACCATGTGAGGCTCTGGGGGGACTAGACAGAAACCATAATAGCTCCCTTTTACTTTGCCCCTCTATCCAGCTATTTGCCATTGCTGCCATGGTCATCTTCTAAAAGACGTGCCTGACCATAATTCTGCTATACTAAAACTTCTGGTGGTTTCCCATTTAGTGCAGATGAAATCCCATCTTTTTACTGTGACACGTGGCACCTTTTATGTTTTTTTGCCTACCAAAATGGCTCACTTTTCTTCCTTCCTTTCTTTTTCTTTTTCTTTTTTTTTTTTTTTTTTGAGACGAGGGCTCCGCAGGTAGTCCATGCTGGCAGTTGAACTCACTGTATAGACCAGGCTGGCCTCAGACCAATGGAGATCCTCCTACCTGAGCCTCCCCAGTGCTGAGACTACACATGTGCACCACCAGGCCCCGCAATTTTTTTACCTTTCAGGATTCCTCAAACATAAAATTTTTGATTATTGGTAGAACTTCTTACACTAACACAGTGATCTCTCAATAGGTTTAATCTTGTTCAGCGAACAGCACAAGCTTGTACAGCTCTCGCCTTTAATCTTCGTAGAAAGTCTGAATTCCTTGTGGCATTAGCTGATTATTCTATTAAATGTTTCGATACAGGTAAGAAGTCCTCCTTTGTCTCTTGAAACAGAAAATTACAGACTAAAGTACTACAAGAAGTTTACTGATCTGTACAGTTGAGAGAACAGCTCCCATGACACTGGCCTCCCTTCAGACACAGCCCCAAGCTCACTTCAGATTGGCTGCTTACCAATTCAAGGTTCTCCAGCTACTCTCAAGTCCAGTAATACACTAGAATAACTCAAGGAACGGAAGAAAGGATTCTGCTCATGATTACAGTCTTAATATAGCACAAGGATGCAAATTAGAGCCAGCAAAAGGAAAAGATGCATGGCGTAGAATCTGGGAAGTTTGCTTTGTCCTCAGGAATGTGTTACATCAACATGCAGCAGTCTGTACCAAATATTGCTGACCCAGAACATTCACCCAGGTTTCTGTGTCAAGAGTTTGATAGAAGGTCCATTACATAGGCACAGTTGATTGAATTATTGCCCATGTGATTGAATTCTATTTCCAGCCTTACTTTTCTCCCAAGAGGTTAGGCTGGTAATATCTTCTAATTGCATGGATGGTTTTCCTGGCATTGCCAGCCCCCACTCTGAGTCTTCATAACATAGACTATCTCTGTGTGGTCTGAGGGACCCATCATGAATAACACAGATACTCTTATCATGTGGGAAGTTCCAGAGGTTTAGAGGTAAGCTCGTAGGAGTCTAGGCAAAAGCCAGACCTTTTTTGGAAGAGAGATTCTTTGCTACACAAGGTATACTTTAAAAAAGAAATTATATAATAAAACTTATGGGGTTGGGGTATAGCTCAGTGGTAGAGTACTTGCTTACTGTATGTAAGGCCATGGGTTCAACCTTCAGCACCATACACTTGCACATGGAAAATTCATACATGTGTATCATGTTTTTTGATTGGAAGTGTAGAGTGCTGTAGACTAACCTTACTCTAAAAAAAAGAGATGGATCTCAACCGTATGTTTTTCTTATTAAAATAATTTATGTTATAATAATTAAAGAGATAAATAAAAATAACAGTAATAACAGTGACAGTGATCTGGGTGTAGTGGCACACACCTTTAATCCTAGCACTCTGGGAGACTGAAGCAGAAGTTTGATCCCAGACTGGATAACTTAGTGACTTATTTCAAAATAAAAAGTAAGAAGGATTTGGGTTGAAGCTGAGGGTGAAGGCCATGGGTTCAGTTCCCAGTACCTCCAAAAAAAAGGAAAGTGACAACAAACATTTATGATATTCTTGCCAGGAACTATTCTATGCCTATTCTATTCTATACATACTAGTTGATTTTACTCATTATAACCTACCGAGATAGATATTATTACTTGTTTATAAAGAAACTGAGGCACAGAGGTTAACTTGACCAAACCTCTACAGTTGTAAGCAGTGGAGCCATAATTCCAACCTAGAGTCCCTACTTTTTAATAACTGTCATATGCTCTGTACACATAAGAAGAAAAAGCATCCATCCTTTAGTACTGCCCAGAAATAGTGTATTATGACAGGGCTCTTGTCTTTCTAGTCTGTTTCTGTGAATATACTGTTAAGTGATCTAACAAATACATAATTAACTCCAACTAAATTGTTTCATAGAAGCATTTTACCTCAAAATTCATACAATCTGTTGTAAAACATTGCATAACAGTCTAGGTGCAGATACTTATAGTACCATACTTACTTGGTCTGTCGCCTATTGTTGGACTTCTAAACTGTTCTCAGTCTTTGGTGTTACAGACACTACTCTGACAAAAATTCTGAAGAAGTCTTTATACTCACTTATGATTGCTTTTCTTAGATTCCATTATTTCCTGCTTTTTCTCTTCTGTTTCACTGAACCTCTCTCACAATAAAGCCCCTTGCCTAGATATCAGCACCTCGCTAACTACTCAATTTGCCTCTCTTTTTCTTTCCTTTCCCTGTGAAATTTTGCTTCCTCACAGCATCTGTTGATGAATTCTGACTCACGTGTCTCCCACTCCATTGTACTGAGACTTCTGTGTCCAAGATCATAGTAACCTCTGATTGTTCACATTCTGCACCTGTCATCCTACTTCTCAGCAGCATTCAACACTTGATACTACTTACAAGCCTTTAATTTTCATTCTGTGACCTCTGTTGGTTCTCCTATCTTTGTTACTGCTTAGCAGTCTCCTGAATTCTTTGAGTGATTCCTAGACATTTGGATTTTCAGTGCAACAAAAATACAGTAATTTACTTACTATGTCAATTTTTAATTTTGTTAACTGACATTGGAAAAAACAATATAATTTTATTTCTTAAAACAAGAGATTTTTAGGGGCTGGGGGTTTAGCTCAGTGGCACAGCGCCTGCCTGGCAAGTGCAAGGTCATGAGTTCAATTCCCAGTACTGGAAAAAAAACAAAACAAAACAAAAAACAACAAAAAACAAGGGATTTTTTTCTCCCAACATAAAGTTGGAGAAACCTATACTAAAGAGTAGTGCTTTAAATTTAGCTCCATGAAGAATTCACTATACTATCCTTATTTTTCTCATTTCCCTGAAGACCAATGAAAAATTAATGCCAATCTTAGGACTACTATTTGGAAACCACTGCTGAAACCACTAAGAAACTTGTTTCTGTGTCTTCAGTTTTAACCTTTGCATTGTAATATTTGCTAGTGTTATATCTTACTTTCTGATTATTCTTGTTTCAGTCCTTCTGGGGAAAGAATTCTGATCATAAAAGTAAAATATACCTACTGTAGAAAATTTGGAAACATAGAAAAGTACGGTATGAGGATAAAATAAAAGTCAATTGTAATTTTACTACCCAGTGACAATTAGCATGAACAATTTTAGTATTTTACCTATCAGACTGTTTTCTCTCCTTACATAGTCATACCTCTCAAAGCCCAACTTTTACAATTGAATTTATTGTCTTTTTCCTACATTGCTGAATGTACTTCTCTTCATTTTTAATAAGTTAATAATGTCACTATCTACTTATATAACTAAACTGGAACCGCTGATGTCTCAACACTTCATTTATCTTAATACATTGATTTGATTACTAAGCCCTCTCTCATATTTCTTCCTAATAGCTTTTGAATTTGTTCCTTTCTCCATTGTCCCTTTCTTAGTTTAAGCCTGTTTCCTACCGGGATTATTACAGCAACATTTAAATGAGTCTAATTGTTCAACCTATTTCACTCTTCTAATATATTCACCAAATATGTTATTCTTCTACCTAGAATTTTTACCCAGAAGAGAATACCCAGTCTCCCTAATATTACATGTGAGGCTATTTGTAAACCCCTTGTAGACTTCATCTCCTGAGACTTCCATGATGCACATGTTTTTAACATGTCCCTTGGTAGATTGTAATGGAAGTGCCTCCCATGAGACTGTATTTTAGTCAGTTTTCTCTCCCTGGGACACAATAACTGACATCCACAACTTAAAGGACAAAAGGTTTAATTTGGCTAATGGTTTCTGGGGATCCAGTTCATAGTCAGCTGGCTCCAAGAAAGGAACATCGTGGTAGAAGGGTGTAAATGGAGCAGAGATACGTCATTCATGATGGGCAGGAAGCAGAGTGGGGGCACAGTGCTAGAGCGGAAAGCGTGAGGGACCAGATATATTATTCAAGGTCATGCACCCATGACCTCCCCCGCAGATACACCCAGAAGTGTGCTCCACCAATCCCCTGGGTGGCTCCCAAGCTAATCGGGTTGACACAGCCAAACTGAACTGTTACAGATACTTAGCCATCAGTTAATCTTTTAACATACAGTGATTATGTATAGTATATGTATAGATGAGTAGTGTTGTAGCTGTGTAACAGTTGTGCTTTTACCACAGTCACCAAGGAGCTAGTTAGCTGGATGAGAGGACATGACTCATCAGTGTTCTCGATATCTGTGCATGCGTCAGGAAGATACGCCATCACTACTTCTTCTGATACAGCACAACTGTGGGACTTAGATACCTTTCAGAGAAAAAGAAAACTGAATATTCGCCAGTCTGTGGGTATTCAGAAGGTGAGTGATAAGGATGTCTTGGACTGTTGGGTTTCTCAGACTAGTTTCCTGGTCAGCAGGATTTAGAGATGATAGAAGAGTAATGATTTATTATGTTCTTTCTGAGTTCTCATAACTCAGTAACAAGAAAACAAAGGCTGACATGGTTAATGATATTGCTTTGGACTGCAGTTTACAACTTACTGAGCTTTTTTCTGTTTTTCTTTCTTGATTGTTATGATAGCTATGAAACTTTAACCCTCATAAGGTGATATTTTTTATAATTTTAATTTTTTAACAATCCCTCTACAATTTTGATAGGAAGAATTTCAAACATACAATAGATTTGTAGGAATTTCATGGTGAACATATGTATATCTGCTTTCTAGAGTCTACCAATAACATGTTACTGCATTGTCCTTTACTGGACAGTACTTTTCAGCATTCCCCAACCTTCTTGGCAAGGGGAACCAGTTTTCTGGAAGATAGTTTTTCTGTGGGAGAGTGAGGTGGGAGTGACCCTCCTGTGGACAGTTGAAGGATTCTTGCCATTATTAGAATCTCACAGCCGCTGACCTGACAGGAGGTTGAGGTCAGTCTGTAATGGGGAGCAGCTGTAAGTATAGGTGACACTGCATTTCCTTGCCCACCACTCACCTCCTTTTATACCTCTCTGTTCCTAACAGGCTCAGACCAGTACCAGACTGTGGCCTGGGGGATGGGGACTCCTGTTATATGTCACTGTACTAGGTTATTGATCGGTCCATCTTTCTGTCCCTTTGGTCATTCATTCCTTGTGTATGATGTGTTTGTTTTAAATTATATGCATCAGTGTACTTCTCTATAAATACTTAAGCCTACATTTAATTGATTGGTTGAATAATTGATGCATTTTATAAATACAACACCCTTTAAAAAATATCTATTTTTCTTGTTTTTAAGGTTTTTTTTTTCTACTTGATTAGCTAAATACTGTTTTCAGGCATATCTTAGTCTCCCAGATGATTAGTTACTTTGCTTTAGGCTGTATTATACATGCAGTATTGTTTTTAATTTCTTGGTTGTTAATATGAATAGCTAGTAATGCATGTCAACCAAAAATTTATTTTGTTGTCTCCCTGGAGATCCCAGAGTTCTTCAGTGTGCCTTTAATAATTAAGAAGAGATAAAAGTTGTAGACAATTTATTCTTAGGGATTTAGTCTTAGTTGGTCTTTTCCTTTAATTGTTTTAACTCTTAAGTGGAATTTTAAATTCCAAAGAACAGAGCATTGGGAGTTTAAATCACAATGGAAACAGAGTTATGAAACAGTGACACAACAACCATCTGTTCTTTTTACCGTGAAATTAAAATTGTATACACTGGATAGTTGCCAGTGCTAACCTTGCTTGGTCATTTAGACATTTTATTCTAAAAAATAGGACCCTAAATGTTAGTGGTAAAAGAATAAAACAAAACGAAGAAAATGTGTGTATAGTGTGGTGACATGCATATAAGTACATGGTTCTCAGATAACAGAATACCGTGATTGGGAAGTTACCAGCAGACTTAACAGGGCAACAGCAAAACTGCATAACTATTGAAAATATAACAGTTTAAAACTGTAAAACATTTTTAGCTTCTAGGCTAAAGGAGGGGTAGGCCAGGTGATTATCATCCCTGGTTTATATTGTTGAAAATGGGAATGAAATATAATCTTAATCTTAAAGTAAAATTTTATTTCTTGTCAAATTTTTACTAAACTTGTATATTTAGTCCAGGTTTGGAGTCTGTATTTTATATAAAACATTCGTTAGTTTTTTGTTTGTTCATTTATTTAGGAGCTACATGGACCCCTATGAAGTAACTTTCTGAATATTTTGTTATGAAGCTCATTTTATGATGGCAGCTTAAAAATTGTCCCACTTTTTTTTCCCATGCCAGTAATTTTTTTTGGAGAGTTAGGACAGTTGTGTTGGAAAATGCCCTACATTCTGAATTTGTCTTGCTGTTTCATCATTGTTGTGTAACTTGTTTTTTTCTCCTCTGCTTTTCTTAGAAACTAGAAGTTAATTTGAAGGATTTGAGTAGATCTGTGTTAAACTTTCTGACAAGCTATTTACCTATGTGTCAAGTGAAAATAGTGGTAATACCTACTTTGGAGTTGATCTCAGCACTAATTTCTGCATAGTGCTTAGGATGGTGCTGGTAGTGTAATAAATGTTAGTAAAATTGAAGTTACTGTTGCTTTTGTTATTGTTATCAAGATCTATTATGAGATTTTTTTGTTCAGATATGTTCTTAAACTATAAGATAATGTGTTTTTCTTTTGAACTACCTTACCTAGGCACACAATTCTATATTAGCTATTCCAAACTCTAGGGTTTTTTTGTTTTGTTTTTGTTTTTGAGGTAGAGTGTCACTATGTAGTTCAGGCTGGGCTTGAACTCAAGGCAGTCCTCCTGCCTCAGCCTTCCAAGTGCTGGGATTGCAAGTGTGCACTACCAGACCCAATTAAAAACAAGTGTTTAACCAGTGGAAAATATGATATGACCTTAGTTAATTTAGCAGAAAAATCTGAACTGAATTTGACATGAGGCTAATGTATTAATATATTTGAGTATGAACTGTTACCCCAAGTCATATGATACTATAGAATACATGTCATATTAGGGTACCTTTTTTTTTATTATTATTTTAAAAAGTAAAAGAAGGACAACAGCAATAGGGGGATTCACCGAATTACAGACAAAGTGGTAGGACATTACCAGTGGATGCTGTTTTACCTATTAGTATCTTCAAGATAGTTTTTCAGGAAAACAGACAAATAATAGTGAGTTATAGAGAAAAATGGCAAGAAATTATCAGTGGTTATTGTACTATACCCTGATTTCTAGAGTGCCTTTTAAATTTGTAAAATACTTCTGAATTCTGAAATATCTGGCCCTAAAGTTTCTACATCAGTAATTATGGATTTTTGTTTTCTAAATGTCTTTAAAGAATTTACTACTCTTCCTCTTTCCCTTGAATTTTTTGTTCATTCCCCCTTTTTTGGTGGGGTGGGAATTGAACCTGAGGCCTTCACAGTGAGTTATTTGCTTGGCCCTTCTTAAGGTTTTTTGTTTTTGTTTTAAAGACAGGATCTTGCTAAGTGTCTGCCCAAGCTGAGCTCAGACTTAAGATTCTCCTGCTTCAGCCTTCCAGAGTGCTGGGATTACACTCTTGTACCACCATGCCCAGATTTCACAGATTTTAGGGTGTAGTAATAGCAATAATAGTAATAAATCAGTTGAGTGCCTGTTTTGCACCAGGACTTCATATAGTTATTTTCCAATTTACATAATCCTAGAAAGTAGACATGATTTTGGAAGCCATTGTCCAGGACTTTATAGAAAGCTGTAGTTTGAATTTAAACCCATCTTAAAATAATTGCATTACACCATACTGTTTGTTATGTAAACCAATTACATATCTTCAAATTAGTAAATTTTGATTCTTTTGCTGATACTTTGAGGTGGAATATTCAGTTTTTCAGTGTGGGTTTTGAGTGAACCATGGGATTTGTGATTACTGTACACAGAAACTCCAACAGTAATTTCCTATGTATAGGAAAGGGGCTGTGATGGATGTGAGAAAACATTTCATAAATAGAGTGTTACTGAATCTAACTCAGTTTTTGTATACAAAGGGCACTCACTGAATTTTTATTAAATTAAACATTTGACTTTAACTTGCTAATAATACTATCTTGGATTCTTGTTAAACTTTGGTAAGAGCTCATGAGCCTGTCAAAACTGAATTGGAAGCCAGGCATGGTGGTGCATGCCTCTGAGCCTAGCATGAGGAAGGCTAAGGCAGATTGCACGTTTGAGTCTTGCATGGGTAATTTAGCAAGACCCTGACTCAAAACGAGGAGAGGGGCAATGTAGCGCATTGGGTTTTACCCTAGTACTGCAAAACAAACAACAGACTTGAATTGGTAAGTGCTGAATTGGGTGTGGTTTGAGGACGTGTGCTAGGAGCTTGGTCCTCAGTGTGGCAGTGTTGAGGAAGTAGTGCAAGCTTTGCTTCCTTGGGGGCTCCACTCTTGGAAGGGATTGTGTATCTGGAGGGTGTTGTATAAAAAGCAAGCCTGGCTGCTGAATCCCTGTGGCTTCCAGTCACTCCACACTACCACCATGATGCTGTGCTGAAATGTAGCCAGAAGGCCCTCCCACAACTGAGCAGAAGCAGACACTATGCTCTTGGAGCTCCAGAAGTGTGAGCTAAATAAACCTTTTTTCTTTATAAATTGTTAGCATATTTTGTTACGGCAACAGAAAATAGACTAACATACAAAATTTAGGATTTTCATATTGTTAAAGGAAAAATTACAGCTGCTTGCACTCAACCCACAGAAAGTATATTTTGTTAACGTTTTTGAAGTTTTGCCTAAGTTTTTATTTTGTCTGTGAGATGACACTATGGCTGGGTGGGGTGACTCCCATCTGTAATCTCAGCACTCTGGGGTGCTCAGGAAGGAGGATCACAGGTTCAAACCCAGCCTTTAGTGACTTGATAAATCTAAAAAACATTTAATATAAATTTTATCTCAAAATAAAAAACAAAAAGCAAAGGCTGGAAATGTAGCCCAGTGCAGAGACCATGGGTTCAATCCTCAGTGCAAAAAAAGAGCAAGAGAGAAAGAGATAACACTATGTAAATAATACTACATGATTCATTAGGAACAATTTTATAATCATTAAAATCTGGCAGTTAAATCTAGTAATGAATAATCATCAAGCAATAATTTATCACAGCTATTCCCAAAATAGTAATTGATGCTCATTAACTTTTAAGCTGCTGCTTCTGCCAGTAGGAATAAACTTTATAACTTTTCTAGAAAAATAACTGCTAATTATAATAAAAATTTTCTTAAGTCACTTTTTGACATTAATTTTGAAGTGTCTTAAGGCATTCATATAGATTGCAGTATATTCATTACAAATTCTCTGTGTAAGACTTTAATATTATAAATCATCCTAACACAGTGACTCTCTTACCACAAGGCCTTCATCACTTTGTCACAGCTGAGACACAAGGCCTAACACCCATAAGTTAAAGGAGGAGAGGTTTATTTTGGCCCACAATTTCAGAAGTTTTAATTTATGGTTGTTAGGCTTCAAGGCAGAAGTGGCATAGTGGAAAAGCACCAGCAGAGGAAAGTTGTTCATGTAATGATGGCCAGGAAGCAAAGAGCAAAGAGAGGAACTGGAGACGGAGGGAAACCCTTCCAAGTCATACTCCTACTAATCCACCTCTAGCTAGGTCCTACCCAATAGCAGGCGACTGTGACATTCCCATAATCCAGTCACCTTCCAAAGCCCAACTTGTAGAGGACACTAGATCTATACCGTAAGAGTCTCCCAGAGATTGTCTGTGGAAAAGTGAGCCAAAGGCAAAGGTGAGGACCTCCATCAGGCTCTTGCCTGACCTACAAATATCTTAAGTAGTTTATTTAGGATTTTTATTGTGTCCTATTAGTATTAATCCTTGGTACATAGTTTTAATTATCCAGTATGTTACACGGCACTATTATACATATGTATGTTTTGTCCACATGTATTCACCGAATTATATTTGAAGCAAGTGAAGCTTTTATGAGACAATATTGATCAGTTTCACTTAAAATTTTGCATTATCCATGCCTGTAATCCCGGCACTTGGGAGACGGAGGCAGAAAGATTGCTGCAAGTTGAAGGCTAGCCTGGGCTACGTAGCAAGACTCTGTCTCAAAAAGCCAAAAAAAATCTTCTTTTGCATTATCAAAAGGAAGCATTGTTTAATGTTTATGAAATAGAAAAGTAGAAATTAGAAGATAAAATGGTTGTTTTCAACTGCTATCAATTTTACTGTTTTTCTTTTAAATAAATTGAATCTCTAATATGTATGTATTTCAGTTTTTTCTTTCATAAGTAATGTTTGCATTTATTTTAAAATACTTTGCCATCAAGCATGGTGGTGTACCCCTGTAATCCCAGCACTCAGGAAGCTGAGCTTGGAGGATCTCAAGTTCCAGACCAGCCTACACTATAATAGTAAGGTCAAGGCCAGCCTGGGCTGCATATTGAGACCCTGTCCTTGTCAATAAATAAATGAGTGATGGAATAAATCAATCTGCTTTGCCAGTCATTCCCAAAGGACTAATTCTTAGAGGTAAATTTACTTGTTGTAAAGATAGAGATGTATTATGTTTTTTAAGCCTATTGAGACATATGGCATTATAATATTTTTAATGAGTTTTTATTCTCAGCAGCAGTATGGAACAGTGTCCTTTCCCTGTACTTTCACCAATGCTTAGGTTTTTTTTTTTTTTAATTTTTTATCTATTTTTATTATGTTTAGGCTAGAACCCAAGGAGCACTGAGCTACATACATTCTGGCCCTTTTTATTATTTTATTGTGAGACAGGGTTTCACTAAGTTGCCTAGGCTGGCCTTGAACTTGATGTCCTCCTGTCCCAGCCTCCCAAATAGTGGGCTGACACGTGTGCACCATCATGCCTGGCAATATTTAATGGTTTTTAACATTTATTAGTAATTAAATGCAGTGTTTACGTAAATATGCAGTTATGTATTACTGAATGACAATATGTTCTAAGAAGTATGTTGTTAGGCAGTTTTGTTGTTTTATGACAGTGTATTTACACAAACCTAGATGATACAGGTCACTCACCTGATGTGGTCTCTTGATTAATCAAGATTCTGGGTGAAAATATGATGTATAAGACGGTTGATAGTGGAACACAGCATGCTTTTTTTTAAGTAACTAAGAGGAGCTTAGTCTAAAGAATCAATAAAAAATGTAGTTTTTTAAATATATTTACAGAAGCAGTTATTTATTATTATTAGGGCTTATATACTACACATTATCATATGCGTTGTACTTTATACATCTGACAATGTGGTGGGTGCATTTACACCAGCGTCACCACAGACCTGTGAGTGCTGGATTGTGCTGCACCTGCTCGGCACTGTCAAGTCTCTGCTCTGAGCAGATGGCTGGGTGGGTAGTTCATAAACATGTATGTTACTGCATGTGTATGTACAAATATATAGTTTGTATATGTGTATGTCATTGATTTCAAACAAATTTGATACTTAAAAGAGTACCTCATTTTCACCTGCATTTTTTTATGTGTGAAAAAATTTAAATTGTTACTTAGATTTTTTAATTGTGTAGTCATTATAATCACATGGTTTTTTTTTAAATTTGAAAGGGTTTACCATTTCCTTTTACTTCGTTATGGTCTATGAAATATCAGTGTTGTACCCTCTATGTATTATAAATGGATTTTTCTGTAGTTTAAGATGATTTTAAAATAGAAAAATTAACTTGTATAATTTTAAATCTAAAAGAACTATCTAAAGTTTATGTAGAAAAATAACTTTCTCTCTCTCCCTCTCTTTAGGTTTTCTTCCTACCTTTAAGTAACACCATTCTCAGCTGTTTTAAAGATAATTCCATCTTTGCCTGGGAGTGTGATACTCTTTTTTGTAAATATCAATTGCCAGCTCCACCTGAAAGCTCTAGTATATTATACAAAGTATTTGCTGTGACCAGGTAATGTATATTTTAAGACATTGGGAATTAAGAAATTTAATTTCTGATTTTAAAAAATTAGAAATTTTCATTCCATATCCTTTTGTCATATGAGAGAACATTTCCTTCAAATCTAGATGCAGTTTGCAGACCTTGTCTTTGTTTTTCCTTTACTGCGCAAAGTTTGAGAGACACAGAAAAATAGAACAGCTTGTGAACAATAAGTACTCATCATCTACAGTGATCATCCACTAGTGGCTATTCCCATTTTTATCCATAACTGCTTATTTCTTTTGTGTATTGTTCTGGAGTTAAGTTTGAGTATCGTATTTCATCTATCACTATTTCAGGGGCTCTTTTTAAAACGTAATTATAGCTGTTATATGTTTTAAAAAATAAGAATTTAATATTGTCATATAGTCATTGTTAAAATTTCCCTGATTTGCCTAATAACTTTATTTAATGACGGATTTGTTCAAGTGAAGAGCAAAACAAAGTTCCCACGTGGTATTTTATTGATATTTCCTCTTTTTAAAGTTTTTTCTTGTAGTTTAAGTGATCAGCTCTCCTGTGGGGGTTTCTGTTTCCAGATTTTGCTGTGTCCATGTGGTAATATTTAATACAGCCCTCTGTCATTTATGTCTCCTGTACAGTGGTTAAATGTGTATTTCCTAATGGAGACTTGCTTTGAATCAAGAGCAAGAAAATAAATGGTTTGTGTACTTTATCTTTGATTGAATGGCGTTGATAATCATTACCTAGATAGCCAATGTTGCGTGAGAGGGTTAATCCAGCAGTGCTATTCTACCACTCCTTCTTCTCTCATTAACTAGTTCTAATTCTGTCGTTCCTTCTTCACTCATTATTTAGAAAGTTTGTGTAGGAACAAACTTTCATTGATTGGTTACTTTGATATACAGTTTATAAACGACAGAATAAATGCTTGATCCCTCTTTTTTTTCTTAAACTAATTTTCAAAGTAATGAATTAATTTATTGGCATCTTACAAAGATGGCCTTGAAGTTTTTCATCTTTAAATTTTGTAAACACATGATTTAACATGTTGGCGAGTTTTAATTCATTGTAGCTAATATTCTTAGTGTGCTTCCATTCTCATAATCGACAAGTGGTATTCTCTGCAAATTCCCTTCTGAATTCTTTTGCTGTCACCTCAGTTGTCTTGATAGCTTTCATGCTTTCTGGTATGACTAGATGTTCCAAGCGTATCTTGTATGCGTTTCCTCTCTCAAGCCTGAAATCAGCTATTTCTTTAAAGAGTGTAGGTTCAATTTAGTGGAAAATGGCATTTCAAGGTCTTAGTCTGGACCTAGGGGTGCTCATTGTGATTGGGCTGCTAATTTTTTCCCAGGCCTCTTCAGTGAAAAGTGCTAGGAAATAGATAATGATTTCTCATCCTTTTAAGTCATCAGTAAGTCCTATCCACTCTACCAAACTATGTATTAAATTGGGCAGTTCTTTGTCCATTGTCACAGATCTTACCCCAGTACAGGCAAACCCTAATACCTTTCAGACTACTGTAATAGCCTCTTTCTTGGTCTCCATTTTCCTTTTTCTAGAATCAGTCTGCACAACAGATAGAGTGGTCATTGTAAATCATTAAGTCAGGTCACCTCACTTTTCTATTGACTACCTTGGAAGGTCTTCCACCACACTCAGTAAAATTCACATTCCCCAGCAAATACCCAGAAACCTTTTGTCACCTGCCTAGGGTTCCCTCTTTATCTCACCTCCTTCCCCTTAATCTCCTTCAGCCACACTTGAATGCAGCTTCTTCCTTTACCTAATACACTAACCTTACTCCTTTTGCAATCCTTTTGTGCTGGCCAGTCTGGAATTCGGACCAGTATAAACTTTTTCCTCCAAATCATCCTATGATTGGCCCAGTCATGTCATTTGGGTAGTAGCAAATCTTCCTTCTTTCCCAACTTTTATCACCTATTTTTATAGTACTGTACAGCATTTGTCACCTGCTGGGACCATCAAATTCATTTGTTTTTTACCTTCCTCTAAACAGAAATTCCAGTGAGAGGATTACCTGACTTGTTCATTCCTCTGTCCCTGGATCCTAGAATGAAAGCTGGCTTATAGTAGACACTTTACAAATCCTTGTTGAATAACCAAGCAACAAGCTTGCAGGTCAATGTAACTTACTCTTTGTGTACCTTATCAAGTAGCTTTGGAGAGACAGGAAAAAAGTTTGCCCTTTTTTTTTTTAAAACCAATTTAGTATAGTCATATATGAAATATAGAAGGTTAGATAATGGTAAGTGACATCGAGATTATGCTCTAAAATATAAATGTTACTCAAAACTCTAATCAAACCATCAGACAAGTATTTGTTAAGCTCTTATTAAAGCTGATGCCTTAACACAATAGATTTAAGTAAGTAAATAAATAAATAGCCTGACCTGTCCTGTGTATGATAGCCATTAGCTACATGTGACTGTGTAATAAAAATAAAAATTTAATTTTCTCAGTAACACTAACCATGTTTCAAGAGTTCAGTGATCATATGTGGCTAGTGGTGCCCATATTGGCCATTATAGATGCAGAATATTTCTGTCATCGCAGCAAGAGTAACTGGCCAGTGCTCCTATAAACAATTGAACTAATCTTACTTTTTCACCTTTTTATTGTATAGAGATGGCCGAATTCTGGCTGCTGGAGGCAAATCAAACCATCTTCATTTATGGTGCTTAGAAGCTACACAGCTCTTCAGAATTATCCAGATGCCTACTAAAGTTAGAGCCATTCGACATCTGGAATTCCTTCCTGATAGTTTTGACGCTGGTTCAAATCAGGTTAGTAACAGAAACATAGGACATACTTTTTGAGAAACATTACATCAATTTCTGAACTGTATTAGCTCTTACTTATTTAAATTATGCCCTGACTGATAAGCACCTGAACTGCAACTGCATTATTTTTAAGAAGAGGCTGGAATTGAAAAAATTTCAAAATCTTTTGTTCTTTATATTACTAACAGATAATTACCTTAACATTCTTATTTTAAATTGACTGTCATGGCTGATACACTTCAACAAGATACGTGTTTTATGCTGTGTGATCAACAATTATAATGAAGTTTTAAAAATTTATTGTAATAAAAGACATTGCTATTTATACCCCTTTAAATGTGTTTTTCACTGTAATAAATTTTTAAAAATTTAAACATTCACCATATTTTTCAGTCACCTCTTCTATGTATACATACAAAATGTGCTTATATGTGTCATGTCTGTTTTACTTACGTTTTGGGGATTTTTTTTATCTTTTTTTTTTTTTTTTTTTAATTTAAACAGGACTCTTAAACTCAGGACCTGGCACCTACCAGGCACGTGCTGTGCCACTGAGCTATATTTCCAACCCTTAAGTTTTTGAATAGGCTATACATTCTCTTGGGTAAAAATCTAAAATTTGCCAGAAGACACACAATGGTAAATCTCCCATGCCTCTCTCTCGTTTGTCTAGTTATTCATAACCCCTGCCTCTTAACGACTGTTTTTGTGTGTAGGATTTTGTTTTCCTTCTTTTTCATACAGCTTTGCACCTTTTCTGCACTTAATTTGGAGATTATTCTGTATCAGTATAGAAGTCCTATTTACAACTGAGTAATGTTCCATAATTTTTTGTTTTGTTTTTGACCAGTCCTCTGTTATTTGGCATTTAAACTTATTTTTAGTCTTTTTCTATTATAATTAGCACAGCACTGAATAACTTTTTGCAAATGCCATTTTACACATCTTAATTATAGAATAAAATCCCAGAGTAGAGATAGTAACAGAAAGGTTCTGTGCATCTGAATTTGGATGATATCTTGCGAAGGGGTCATATCAACTGCACAAGGGGGTTTGTTCCTCCCAACCAGCCAGCAGAAGAAAATGCATTTTAGATCGTCACCTCCAAGCTGCCATTCTGTGTGACAAGCAACACTGGCATTTTAAGCAGATGCTTGTTGTCTTAGTCACTTTTCTCACTGCTGAGACAAAATACCCAACACTCAAAGTAAAAGGAAGAAAGATTTATTTTGGCTCAGAGTTTGTAGAGGTTTCAGTCCATAACTGGCTGGCTCCAAGGCAGGGACTAGACAGAGGAGAAATAGTTCATGGCAGGCAGAATGTAGCAAGCGATCTTTCTCTTTCATATCTTCGCCACTTTACCCACCTGAGGGCAAACAGCACTCATATCCAGGGTACAGTACCCTTAATCCTGCCGAGAACTGCCAAACCAATCAGTGGACTGATTTAGTAATCACACACCCTTAGTCCGGCATCACACAGTCCAAATCCAGCCACCTCTTAAAAGCCCCACCTATGATTGCATGAGGCTTTGGGGGGACATCTAGACACAAGCTGTAACAGTGGTACTGCATATAGCCACTGTCATGGGAAAAGGGCTTATTTTCTTTACTTTTTTTTTTTTTTAACATACTCTTAATTCTTCAAATAGGAGTTAAAATTTAAATTTTTTTCCCTTAAAAGACTAACTTCCCTCCTATCCCTCTACTATCCTGTCAACCCGGAATCTTTCTCTAATCTGCAAATGTTAGTTACAGTAGTTGAAGACAGGCTAACAGTGGGTTGCCTCACCAGGAGCCACACAAGTTTGTGTATCAGGGAGAGAAAAGCAAACCCTACACCCTCCTTGCTTTTGACAATCACTGTGGAGGTATAAAGGTTAGGAACTGTCCAGTTATCTATGTCCCACGTACCTTTTCAGTGAATTTGCCCTGCCTAGGGAAGGGAATGTTCTTAGGTCACTTTTCTGTACTCTCTCAGGATGTGTTCCTTACTGGTTCTGGTTAGAGCCAGCTTTATCTGGGTCTGAACAGGGCAAATCAACATGAGCCATATTTACTTGAAAATTTATAATGACTCGGGGAGAATAAAATGTCTTCTAACTGCCTCCCCCAAATTTATATATGTTGTAGTCTGGGGTTTTGCAATGGGAACAATATAACACAGGACACATATTTTATAAGATTATTTATAATAGTCACCCAAAGAATAATATACAAGCCAGGCAGGGTGGTGCACACCTGTAATCACAGCACTGAGGAGGCTGAGGCAGGAGGATTGTTACAAGTTTGAGGCCAAGGCTGGGGATATAGCTCAGTGGCATAAGTGCCTGGCAAGGTCGTGAGTTTGATCCCCAGTACTGCAAAAAAGCAAAAACAAAAATAATTTTGAGGCCAGCCTGAACTGCATAGTGAGACCCTGTCTCAAAAAGACCAAAAAAAAAAAAAAAAAAAAGCATATACAAAAAAAGAGTGCAGAAAATCTGTCCACACACTAAAGACCAAAGAATCCATCTGAGGGCCTGGATCCCACAAGAATGTCCTGCATGAATCTAGCTGAAGACCTAGAGCACACAACAATGCCTCCCACAAGTCCAACTGGAGGTCTAGAGCCCATGACAATGTCTCATATGGGCCTGTTTCACTGACCTATGGTGGGAAGGCCCAAAGGTCAGTGGTGGAAGCTAGAAAGTCTGTGCCAGTGGAATGATCTGTGCCGGCAGACTGAGGGATCCACACTGGAGCCAGGAAGTGATGTTCAAAGTAAGAACCAGAGCTCCCCCAAAATGAACCAAAGCCATTCTCAGTGACAGCAAGGTCCCGAGCTCTGAGAACAGCCGAGTTCATCAGAAAAGCCACATGACAAGGTCCTCCAGCAGAATAGCCCAAGAGAACCAGCAGCTCGCTAACAGCCTCCCAAACAATTTCTACCAGCTCCCCAACAGCCTTCTAACTTCTCCAGTTCTGTCTCATGCTTCTGGCAACAATCCTCATGTGGGCCTGCCACACCCAGCACTACAATGGTTCAGTTCAGCTGGGTGTTACAGGTTGACCACCAGTTGCAATCCACCACAATATATGTCACACACACATAGTGTATTTATGTATAGTTTGACTTTCACACATTCAACTTTCAGGTGTTTTTAAGAATTCATTTCTCTCTACTCTTAGGTTCTGGGCGTGCTAAGTCAAGATGGCATTATGAGATTTGTCAATATACAGACTTGTAAACTTCTTTTTGAAATTGGGAGCCTTGATGAAGGAATTAGCTCATCAGTAATTAGCCCACATGGACGGTACATTGCATCTATTATGGAAAATGGAAGTCTGAACATATATTCAGTTCAAGCTTTAACACATGAAATAAATAAGGTATGTTATTAAGGAAACAACAACAGTTTATTTTAAATTTCAATATTGTATCATCAAGAATAAAATGTTTATGCTCTTATTTGCTAACTTTCTTGGAACTTACCTATTTTTTTAAAATTTATTTTGTTTTTCTTATTCCCAAAGCCATGTTTCCTGCTGCATTTTGTTTCTTACATTACTACCTTCCTGAAGGACATCTGTTTGGTGTCCCTGTCTTATTCAAGGTGTCACTCATGATCTCTTTCCCCCAACGAGCTCTTCAAACCTATTTCTTCATTTTGGACTCATTCTTTCTTCCCGTCTTATAGACGGTAAAGCTCTATAGCCATTCTAATTCCTTTATTTCCTAAATCTAGTCAATTCTAAGTGATATGACTTCTTAAATTTGAAATATCGATATATGTGCTGCCTCTTCTCTGTCTCTATCATGGCCTTCCTGTTGGTCCTCTTGAGCTAACTACTGAACAGCAGTAGTGTATCCACTCCATCTTCTACAATACATTTTTCTAAAATAATATTTTCAACCAGGTGGTGGCACATGCCTGTAGTCACAACTGCTTGAGAGGTACCTGTGGGAGGATCACTTAACTCACAGTTGGAGACCTGTCTGGGCAACCTAGTTAGACTCTGTCTCATAAAAACAACAAAAATCAAATATTAGAATGTAAAACCTCAATTGATGAACAGTTCTGTTTGTGAACAACTTGGTTCACAAACAGAAGCTTTTGGCAAAATTTTGCTTCCATCTTGAACTCTACATTAGGTGACAAACATGACCATAGTCATCTTCCCTAGAACCATGTAATGAATCAAGTTCATGAGAACTGAGGTGCCACCGTAGAAGTAAAAGAATGCTTTCATCATTTAAGTAGTGCTACTTCAGTGACTTCCTTCCTCCTGGCTGTTGCATTAAGTCTAGAGTCTTCTACTTGGCTCTCATGTCGTCTTTTCCCCTGTCTACTGATCTAACTGATTTCCCCATGCATATTCTCTCATCATCCCCCATAGATACCATTCTTCATTTGTTACCTACATTATTTATTCCATCCATCTTCTGTGATTGCCTAAAGTTCCCTTAGCGAACAAGTTAGATTGTGTGCAACCTTGCTAGTCTGTGATTGTACCATGGTGGCACTGACAGGGACTGTGATAGGCACCTGGTGTAACCCTTTCAGTTTTGCAGAGAAGGAAGTTCATGCACCAGCCTAATCATATAGGTAGTCAGCGGTGGCAGTGGATGTTTTAAGTCTTAACGCACTTAAATGCGTTTTTTTCTCTTTTGTTCTCTTTATCTTTTTATACACATAAGTAGTGCTTCATTGCAGAAAAAAATCAAAGGATACAGGTAAATAGGTAAATAAAATTGCTTAATGTCTACATTCTCAGATGATTCTGATGTATACATTGCTAATCTTTTTCGTATGTGTGTAAATGTATGCATTCACTCATTTGTGGTTGTTGTATATGAGAATTTGCCTACTCACTAAAATTTGTGACCCTAAAATGAATATTGTGTACTGCTAACCTGTACTAATATAAATAAATAAATACTTGGAGTGCTTTCACTGTTACACATAGACAATATATTGAAAATAGAGTCACTCTGCCCTTGTTCCCAGCTTAAGTGGAACAGAGCAACACTTTGCTTTTTTATTTTAGCTCCCATACTGTAATTTAGTATCTTTTGTGTTATCTTTAGTGCCAGGGTTTTTTGGGGTTTTTTTTTTTTTTTTTTTTAGCATTTTTAGGCTTTCTGTTGTGATTTTACTGTTTAAAATGACCCCAAGCATAGTGTTAAAATCTTGTGTTCCTAAGCACAAGAAGGCTGAATTGTACCTTACACTGAAAATGCACTTTAGAAAACTCTTCTAGGCACGAGTTACATGCTGCAGTTGGCTTTCAACTCAATGATAACAGATCAACCATGGATACTACGAAAGATATCTTCAAACAGAAAACAAGACTATATATTAATCAGTTGATGAAAATGTGTGCAGAGACTCAGTAAAGTAATTCAGTGTTCACTTACTCAGTATTTGAGTTAATTCTGTAGAGCTACTGTGAATAACAAAAACTAACTAAATATATATGTCTGTATATAAATATGTGGCTCTTTATCTGCATGCATTTTCTCAAATGGGATTATACTCTACTGTTTTTATTTGTATGATTGTATATCTATATGTAATTACATATAGCTTTATGTAATATTTGTTGTATATTTTTTAAAAATCATTAGTATGTTATGTACTCTTAATAAGAGAGGCTTAGCTTCTTCAATTGATTTTACTAGCTAAGCCTTTTAAAAGAGGCTGGGAGAAATATGAGAAAAACCGTGGTAAAAGTGAGTCATAGAGTCCCTCTGTGCTGTTATTGTTGAGTAAACTGAGACCATATTGAAAGGAAAAGCTAGCTCAGAAGTTGAATAATCTTGGCTGGGAATGTAGCTCTGTGGCAGAATGCTTGCCAAGCGAACATGAGCCTCTGGATTCAATCCCCAGTACCACAGTTAAGAAAAAAAGAGAGACTTCATAAATTTTTGGACACATCACCTGCACTATCAGTGTCTTTATAGTTGTTTCAGGCTATATAGAATGTCCAGCTGTGTTTCACACTAAATCTTAATTCTCTTGTATTCCATTCATTCTGAATTTTCTTTTCTTGTCATTAGAGAATTTCTGATGTGGTGCTAATAGAATGAATAAATTCTTATGCTTTGAAATTTTGATACTATAGAGATAGATCCAATCAGATTCCATCTCAGGCTCTAACTTTTGGGAGATTATACTGAAGGTCCAGGATAAGGTTCAAGCAGGAGGGGAAAGATATTAGAATAGAATTTTTAAATAAAAATTTAGAAGAATGGATTGAAGGGAGCAAATAATTACAGGATATTAAGGATGAACAATATTTAAGTCAGTCCACTTTAATTCTATCCCATAAATGAAGAATCATAGAATTTAAGTGGGCATTGTGCTTTAATTGTATTTAGAGCTCAGAAAACCCAGGTAATCTTATTTGCTCATTTGCTTTGAATAAGAGAAATCTTTTGATTTCAGAGTGAAAAATATTATTATGGAGAAATATTTTCAAGTGAGCCATTTTGCACTGAGTAATTTGAAGTGTTTTTCTCCCTTTCATTAGACCCATAATAATGAGGGTTTGGGTTCTAAGTTGTGTTGTCTCAACTGCTTCTTAAGCAGTTGAAGTAGTGAGAAACCAACAGCCATTGCCATGCAGACAACAACCTTCAACCACAGACAGACAGGAGGAGTTCGGTGCTTCCAAAGGAAAATCATTGGCCACTTCCTCTTCCTCAGAAATTTCACTTGGGCCCAAAGCATGTTAGGGTGCTTCTTTGGCCTTCTGGTGGACCATATACCCAACCATTGTCTTCCGTGCCGAGCATCATCACCATTATGCTCACTGTATCGTGCGAGTGTGAAAATGGTTTGGCATTACACTTACGGCCAGCTTTCAAGGAGTACTTAAATTCTGCTTGTTCCTGTTGTTAAATCGTGTATTTTTGTTTTTTAGTGTAATTTACAAAAATCTCTTCCTTTAAGCCTCCTCCTCCTTTAGTGAAAGTAATTGAAGATTTGCCTAAGCATAAACTGAGTTCCAGTGATATTAAGATGAAAATAACATCAGGAAAAGTGCAGCAGCTGGCAAAATCTAAAGAAAGCAAAATTCAGACTAGAATATTAAAACAAGACCTGATGGGTAATTGTGAAAATAAAGAGGTGAGAAAATATTACAATTAAACTTTTATGTGTCACATATTCTGCCATAGACTGGTGTTGTGATTTTTAGGCTATCGTCACTCTTTCTTCTCTTGAGATTTAAAGGAATAGAGTATGAAGAGAAGAAAATTATACCTGAAGTTATAATATTCTAGTAATGTTTATGGTTTTTCCAGAAGTCAGACAATACACAATGTACTGTCCAGTATACAAGCCACTAGCTTGTGGCTGATGAGTACCTGAGGTGTGGCTAGTCTGGATTAAGATATGTTGTAAGTGTACTGCACATGGTAAAAAAAAAGTCTGGAAATGTAGAATGAGCAAAAATGAAGTATCTACTGATGATTTTATATTGATTGTATTTTGAAATGATATTTTGATTATATTGGGTTAAATTGTGTTACTGAAGTGAATTCTTCCTTTCTCTTTACTTTTTTAATGTGGTTCCTAGAAATTTAAAAATTATGTTTGTGGCTTATGTTGTATTTCTGTTTTACAATGCTAGTATAGAAGGCTGTGAAGGGAAAAAAACAGAAGCATGTCTTCCTTTCTCCCTGTTTCCTATTCCATTCATTATTGTATTCCCTGGAGGTGGCTGAGATAGTAATAGTAGAATTACCTTTGAGGGAAGGGAGTTCATTGAGTTTTATTTTCTTTCTAAAATTTTTTATGTTTTCCTAATTTTCTGAAAAACACAAATGTTACTTTTGAAAACAATGAAAATATTAACAGAAAAGTTACAGATGTTGTCAAGGAACTTTAAGCTTTTTATTGACAGTAAATATCACATGCAAAGTACACCTAAATCTATAGTGAATTTTGAAAATATGCATCTTACCAGGACCTTCCTACTCCCTTTTAGACAACACTCCACATTACCTCTCGAGTGATGACTCTTTCTGGGAAAGAATGAAGATGCTAGCGATTTAACTCAGAGCCTTGCTTGTGCACGTTTGCATTCCGCCACTGAGCTACACCCTCAGCCCTGGGTAACTGCTCTTGATGACATTGTAGATTAGTGTAATAAATAGTCAGTTTTTCTCAGTGGTTGATTAAAGCAGTTCACGTTCCCACCAACAGATTTCAAGGGTTCTAGTTGCTCCATATTCTCAGGAACCTTTGGTATGTTTCACATAACTTTTTTTTTTTTTTTTTTTTTGGTTTTTCTCCGGCACCGGGAACCGAACTCACGACCTTGCGTTTGCCAGGCAGGCGCTTTGCCGCTGAGCTAAATCCCCAGCCCCTCACATAACTTTAATAACTTTTTCATTGAGCATTTTAAAATTGTGAAACCTGTTTGTACAGAAGAACATATAAGGCAGATAGCAGCTTAATGAAAAATAAAAGATCACGTGGATGTGAGTGGCTGTAAGACCATCTTCGTATTTGGCACTTTGTTAGGGTTCACCACACATCATCTTCACAGTTATGATATAGGGAGGAACACAACAGAAGCTCAGCAAAGGGAGAAGCATTAGGGGAGGCCTGAGGGAGCAGGCACAGGCGTCCAAGAGTCCATTCCACTGGGGTCACATGAGTGCTTGATCCCTCCAGTAGCCAGTTGTGACAACATACATGAGAAGAAGCGTTGTCTACTAAAGGAAACTGTTAGCATCTTGGGGCTCGGTGCCCAGGCTTTGGCTAGAGGCTGGTTATGTAGGCAGCCTTATAACATGTTTAAAATTCCAGACACTCTGAGGAAAGGCAAGTGCTTAACACATGTTGTAAAACTACATTGTCTAGTTTAGACACACTCAGCCACCCTTACTGGTTCTAGAGATGATGGGAATGCTGCAGAAATCTAGCTTCTAGACACCAGCCACAGGTCAGCTTGCAAGCAGGCTTTCTAAAGGTCCCAAGCTCAGACCCACTGTGGTGACTTTTTCCTGCACATATCCGTTTATACATTAAGAAACAAAGCATTACAGGAGGTTTTGAGCCTCTGCTCGCTTATTCCCAGTCATACTTTTCTCTCTACCCCGTAGATGTATTTGTTGTCCTCCCTTGTGCTTGTGTGTTATGTCCCTGACTTTCTTTTTTATATTTTCTGCATATAGTGCTCGCTTCGGCAGCACATATATATATTTTCTGCATATAAGCCTAAGGGGAAAATTTTTTTGTTTTGTTTTTTAAGGCAGGTTCTTGCTATGCAGTCCAGGCTGATTTTTAACTCACTAAGTAGCCCAGGCTGGCCTTAAACTCACAGCAGTCCTCCTTCCTCCAACTCCCAAGTGTTCACCACCGCTCCCAGCTTATAAAATAATATTTTTAAAAACGGAATAGTAAGGAAAAAGCTAAAATGAAAAGATTGGGCAGTGTTGCTGCTATTCAATAAATGTTTTAATGAGAAGATAAGCTGAGTACCAAGTCTTGACCTGCCATTAGCTTTCCTGGGAGTTTACAGGAACCTTTATGGAAAAATTAAGACATGATCATAAGTCACTTATCAGTAGTCAGGGTTTCTGGCAGCACTGTAGTGTGGATGAAATCCAGATATCTTACAGAAAAATACCAGGGAGGGAGGGAGCTTCTGAGGAACCTATGCCAACCCAAAGGAGTAAGTCAGAAGTGGAACACTTCTGTGGGGTGAAATGCATGCTCTCAGTTACCAACATCAGCATGCAGAGGAAAATAGGAGCTTCATCATCAGCTCATGATCAAGACAAGAATAGATAAAATTCAGGCCAGACTCAGTAGAGCATCCTATCCTTTTATTTAAAAAGAGGTTCCAGTGGCAGTAGCTGTCTCGGCAGTGACAGCAGTCCACATGTTTCTCGTGAATCATATTGCTCCAAACAGCACTCGTTGCCCTCTGTATCTGGTGCATGGACTCAAATGGGAATTTTTATTCACCGTGTCTTGTACTTTCCCTTCATACCTTTTTGTGTCAGATTACCCATTCATGGGGCTAAAAGAGTACTGAAGGAATCAGAAAATTTGGCTTTGAGTTTCAAGCCAGGATTTAGCAGATTTGTGACTGTGAGCAAATCAGGGAACTTGGTCTCTGTCTCTTCTTAGTGGAGAAGGAAAGATAACATCCCATCTGTTTCACATAGTTGTTAGCATCAAAAGAAAATCTATGAAAGCAGCTTTACAATTCTAAATTCTGCATTTTTGATTTTTTTTTTTGTACCAGGAATCGAACTCAGGACCTTGCACTTACCAGGCAGGCACTTATGCCACTGAGCTATATTTCCAGCCCTATATTTTTCAATTAAGACAAAAATTGACTTGAAAGTTAGATATAAGGGACTATTATCAAAAGCTAATGTCTATGTCATCTAGGATAAAATAAGTTTCTCTGCCAGTCTTGTCTTTCATGCTCTCGTGCTATAGGTGGTCCAGAATGTCAAGAAAAGGGGAGAGAAAGTATCAGAATAAATTGCTGTTTGTTCAGAGTCAGGCAAATGACGGTCTGTAGCCTCAGTCAGGTTATATAAGCCTCGAATAGTTTTTACATTTTAAAATGGTTACATTTTAAATGGTTATTTAAATATCTATGCAATATCTTTTTCTCCTTTGCTCACAAAACCTGAAATATTTTTTAATTAACTGCTCATACAAAAAGTTTGTCAAACTCTAATCTAGCAGAAGGTAATGATATAATGAACTGTAGTTGCTTTCTGTATGCTTAATGTTTAAGGAAGAGAGTGTGTGGTATAAAGTCCAGTGGAAGGAATAATATTTCTTACTGTGTGTTGTGTTCTATAGCTGGAATGCCACTTTGGACCAGATTACTATTTTGAGTTTCGTGGTCATGTACTTACTGATACTGTCTTTTTGCAGAGTGAGTTGTCAGATGGATTAAACAAAAAGCGCTTACAAATCTTACTAAAAGGCTATGGTGAATATCCAACAAAGTACAGGTAAAATTTGAATTCTTTTATGTTAAATCTATTTTATTCAAAGAATTTTTTAATCCAAGATTATATTTTAATTTCAGGATGTTCATTTGGCGCTCTTTACTACAACTGCCTGAAAACCATACCGCATTTAGTAGCCTAATAGATAAGGGTACTCATGTGGCATTTCTCAACCTTCAGAAGAAATATCCCATCAAAAGTAGGAAACTACTCAGAGTATTGCAGAGGTATGTTCAGTATATTGCAGTAGTGTATATGAAATCTGTGACTAATAATTACAATACTCTGTAAAATATTGTTTGATCATCTTTGATTATCCCTGTGTGATATGTTGGTTTTTTTAAAAAAAACATATATACACGGGTATATATATTACATAGAAATATTCGTTTGTGTTGTGTTGTGCTCTAGACAACAAAGATTTTTCAGGTAATTCAAAGAAATGAAGCAGCAAAATAGAAATAGCTTTGAATTTGGAGGCAAAAGACCTAGTTTTGAATCCTTGTTTCACCATTTAATAACTATGGTATAGCACGTATCATTTTACTTATTTATTTTAATTTCCTTATCTGAAAATGGGAATAATATCACCATCATAAGATTGTTGGGATAAGTGGGTGAGAAGCTCTTAGGATGCCTATGCTAGTGTCTAATTCATAATAATAAGCACTCGGTAAATGTTAATAATACAAACTAATTTTTAAAGTATTTTTTTGTGTTAGGCACAACTAAATATACATTTAAATTATTTTACAGGTAAAGAAACTAAGGCATAGGTGGGTTAGGTACTGTGATTCAGTCACTCAAGTGTAGAGGGATAATTAAGCCCCAGCTCCAGAGTCCAATTTTTATTTTTTATATTATATTACATTAATTAATTAATTTATTCATTCATTCATTCATTCATTCTGAGGCAAGGCATCGCTGTGTAGTTCAGCCAGGCCTTGAACTCACTATGTAGCCCAGGCTGGCCTCAAACACACAGTAGTTCTCCTGCCTCAGCCTCCTGAATGCTGGGATTACAGGCATGCACCACCATGCCTGGCTCAGAGTCTAATTTTTAAAAATTACTTTTATCATGAAAAATTATAATCATAAGTAAAAGTAGAATAGCATAATATACATCCTTATACCCATCATCTGGCGTTAGCAGTTGCCAACTCATGGCCAGTCGTGTCACCCCATACCCTCCACTTAACCCCACTGTGCTCCATGTCGACCTCCCCACCAACAAACAGTCATAGTTACTTTTCTCGTTGCTGAGACAAAATACCTGACACCGAGACTTGAAAGAGAAGAAGTGTATTTGGCTCACAGTTCATAGAGGGTTCAGTCCATGGTTGGCTGGCTGCAAGGCAGGGTGGTATGGCAGAGGGGCATCACAGAGGAGAAACAGTCCATGCAAAGCAGGGCAGACAGAAGGCAGCAAACAGCAAGTCCAAGTGACGGTAGCAGCTTCTTTCTACCTCTTTTATATTCTGTCTAGGCTGCTGGGCTTAGGGCAGGTGCCAAACCAGTCAGTGAGTGGACTGATTTAGTAATCACACAGTTTTAATTCCAGCATCACACACTCTAGATCCAGCCACTTCTGAAAAAAGCTGCCCTTTGATTGCCTGAGACTTTGGAGGGGTATCTAGACACAAGCCTAATACACACCCTGCTAAATGTTTACACATGTATCTCTAAAAGATTGAGATTTCTGTCCTTTTACACAAGTAAGCACACTACCATTAACCAAAAAAAGAATTAACAGTAAGTTTTTAATGTCCATTCAGCATTTCCATTACTGATTTTTGTCTTAGAAAATTTCTTATGGTAAGGTTGTTCAAAACGTTCACACCTGTAAACCCAGCACTTGGGAGGCTAAGGCGGGAGGATCACTGCAAGTTTGAAGCCAGTCTGGGATACATAGTGAGCTCAGAACTAGAGGCCAACTTGAATTACGTAACGAGACCCTGTCTCAAAAAAAAACAAAAAAAGGTTCACATGTTATATTTGGCTGATACTCCTCTTTTTATTTTGAGACAGTCTCACCATGTAATTTAGGCTGCCTTCGAAATCTGTGTAGCCCAGGCTGCCCTCAAACTCTTGGCAGTCCACCGGTCTCAGCCTCCCAAGTGCTGGGATTACAGGTATGTGCCACCATGCCCAGCCTGGTTGATATCCTTCTAAAATGTCTTATAATCTACAGACTCAGGCTCCCTCTGTTTCTCTTGGTAGTTTATGTATTGAAGAAACCAAGAGTTAACTTACAGAGTTTTCTTATTCCGAATTTTGCTGATTTATCCCCGTGTATTGCTTAGCATGTTTCTTTTTCTCTTGAGTTTCCTATGAACTAGTAAGAAGAACTAGGGCCCTAAGCTGATTCATGAGTTTTATTTTCTTTCTCTTTGATATTTGTTTCCTTGTCTTTGATATTTGTTTCTTTGTCTTATAAGAAAACTTTTTAGGTAATTTTATGTATTTCTGCTAGCAGGTTTATAATAACTGGTTCTCTGTCTTCTGGCAATTTTACTAGCCAGTTATGATCGTTGCCTACATCCATTATTTCCTTAGAGATTAGCAAAATCCCATCAGTCTAGTTCTGTCATTCCTTTTCTTACGAACTGGAAGATTTCTATAAAGAAAAACTTCCTGTTATCAACTGTTTGGCCATTCTTAAGATATATTCACAGAGGAGAGTATGTCAGTCACTTTCCTGTCATGGGGACAAAATACCTGACACCTACAACTTAAAGGAGCAGTTGTTTATCTGACTCGGTTTCCACTGGATTCCATCCAAAGTCAGCTGGCTTCAGGCAGAAACATGGTAGAAGGGCATAGTGGAACAAAACTGCTAAGCCCATGGCAGGCAGGAAGCAGAGAGACTGGGGCATGAGGAGGAGAATGCACCCTTCCAGGTCATGTAACCAGTGACCCACCTCTAGGCAGATCCCACTCCTGACGGCACACTTAGCTAATGATACCATAAATCCACTGGTGCTGATGAGGACAGCACCCCCCAGGACCCACTTATCTCACAAATATATAAATGTCCCCTTTTGGGGACATTTTAGATCTAAACCATAACAGTTTACCACTGGGCCCCAAAAGATTCATGTCTGTCTTGCTATGCAAAATTCATTTAGTATATCTCTAAGAGTCACTAAAGTCTTAACAATTCCAGCATTGCTAAAAAGTCCAAAGTATGTTATGAGATTTGAGGCAAACTCTTAGCTGTGAGTCCCTATAAAAATAAAAAAGTTAAATATTTCCAATATACAGTAGTACAGAGTCAACACTTCCATTTGAAAAGGGACAACTAGGTATGTAGAAAGGAATTGACCAAATCAAGACCAAAACCCAGCAGAGCGAACATTAAATCCTGTAGTTCCATGTACAGCTCCTTGGGCAAGTTGTGAGAGGTGAACTCCAAAGGGCAGCCCCAGCCCTCCAGTGTTGTCATTTGTAGTCTACAAAGCCTCTCTTTTGGGCTGGCTCTGCTCAGTGCCTGTGGCTTGCCTCAGATGATCTATATTCCTGGCATTCCTAGCTCCCTGGGGTCTCCACTGCATCTTAGACTTTACTTTCATATCTTCATAAACTTCCCTTGAGGATCAAATGGTCTGGCCTCCCAGACCTCCTTTCAAATCTGTGAGATACCATCACCCCACAACTCTTGCATTCTACATGCCTGAAAAACTAGCACTGTGTGGATAGTTCCAAGATCTACCATGAGCTCAGACAGTAGCCAGATCCCCATGGATCATGGCTGCAGAGAGCTATGAGTGTCTGAATGACTGAACACTATGAAACAAATCCCAGGGAACTACTTCTCAAGGGGGAGGGACAGGCCTCAGGGGACTCACCTCTCAAATAAAAGCTTTACAGTGTTGTATTCTTGAGCCTGCGAAGGGTAGTGTCTTGCTGATTCCTGAGGTGTCTTTAAGCCATCTTATCTATTTTCCTGGTGCAAAGTACTTTGCTTTTTCTTTTCCTTCACTGTGTAGCCTAGGCTGGCCTCAAACTTGCAGTGAGCCTCCTGCCTTGACCTCCTAAATGCCAGGATTATAGGCGTGTACCACCATGCAGGGCAAGTACTTGGCTTTAAAAAAAATTTTAATCTTTTTAGCAACCTTGGTCCCAGGTTTACAGGAGCTTCCTTTTTGTCCATCAGCAAAATTTTTAAAAATTATTTAAATAGCTTTTTAGTCCTAATTCTCACTGTAAATCTGGCTGAAAACAATTAACAGTACTCATGCTTGAATACCCTGAATGCTGAGCTGCTTTGAAATTTCCTCTGCCCATTAATTAGTTCACTGTTCTTAAATTTCAGCCTCTTACAAAGTCCCAGGACATGGGCAAGAAGACAAATTTTCCACTAGTGTGTAACACACATGGCCTCCATTCCAACTGCCAATGAAGCCCTTGTTCCCAGCTGAAACCTCCTGAACCTACTAGTCTTTACTGTATGGATTTCCACTAGCATTCTGGCCTTCTGGCCTCCGACTGGAGTCTCCCGTCAATCTCTGCTTACAGTATCTTAAGGTTTTTCCGACTGGCATCCCCAAACCTTTCCAAACCCCTCCCACAAACAAGTTCCAAAAGCTGCTGAACCACATGGTCAGCTATAGGCACAACAGTGATCCCACTTCTCTGGTATCAGTTTCTGTATTCATCACTTTGCCATCACTGAGACAAAATACCCAGCACCCACAACTTAGAGGATGAGAGGTTCATTTTGCTTGCATTTTCCAGGAGGTTTAGTTCAAACTCAGCTAGCACACATGGTGGAAGAATATGGCAGAGGAAAGTGCTCATCCCATGCGGTCGGGAAGAGAGAGAAGGTAGGAATGTGTACAAGAGTACATCCTTCTACATCATGCCCCTAGTAACCCGCTACAACCAGGCCCTGCCTCCTAACAGTATGTTTAGCTACTGAGCTCATCAGTGGATGAAACCACTAATGTGTACAGCACTCCCACAGTCAAGTTAACTTCCAAACACATGAGACTTTGGGGGCATGTTTTATATCTAAACCATAGCAGAAAGGCAGGTTAAATACTTGATACCTTTTTGGCTCTTTATTTTGCTGTAGCAATCAGTTATGTTCATGCCGATAGGAATAATCAAATAAGATGTAAATGGGAGAAGGGGAAGCTCTAGTAAATAGGAAAGGAAGTTGAGAAATACAAAATCACCATTAGATACTAATATTTAGTATAGTAATAATATATTGCTGTTATTACTAATAATTATTGCTGAACACATCCACTAATTGATGCTAAAATTAAAAGACAAAAATACTAGGAGTTCCAGGGTATTTTTGTAGTATCTTACCCAATATGTAATTATGTTAATTACAAATGGAAAAATAGTAATATTGTAGAGAAACACCATTGTAGCCAATAGGTATCAGTGTAATGCATATTACTTTTGGTATTCTTACTGAAAATACAACCTCAGTCTAATCATGAGAAAACACCAGATCAGTGCAAATCAAAGTGACAGTGTTGTGAAAAATAAGGAGAGAATGAAGAACTTTTGCGTTGTTAGAAACTATTGAGACAGCATAATATAAGATTGACTCTTGGATTGGTGAAATGAAGACAATTACATTAGTGGAAAAAATCAAAATAAAATTCATAATGTAGCATTGTATAAAGATTGGTTTCTTAGTATTGTTAATTGTACCATATGTAACACTGGAGAAATTTAGGCAAAAGGTATAGAAGACCTTCACTACTTTTGATTTTTTTTTTTTTTTTTTTTTTTTTTTTTTTTGTGCATCTAAATTTCAAAACAGAAAGTTAAAAAAGAAACTTAACATTTCCATTTGGAAACATCTTAAAGGTATTAGATGTCAGTGGGGAGAATTACAGTCCAGGAGTAAGGTGGGCCTTCCTCAGCATGACATATCCAGAAGCAGTTGTTACGACATGAATATACATCTCTACATTTAAAAAATTTCCAGAACACACATATAAAACAGAAAATATATGTAAAACACAACAAATTAATGACTGGTTTCTTTAATATATGAAGTGCTCATGTAAATAATTGTGAAAAGGACTGACTGATACAGAATGGATAAAGATTGAACAAACAGTTCACAGCAGTAGAGGTTGTTCTTGAACATTAAAAGATGCTGTTTAACCTCCTTATAATAAGAGAAGTTGCATCTCTCAGATTAAAGGTCTGAAAGAAATGATTGATAGCAAATTATGTTGCCAAGAGTTTAAGAAAACATACCTCTTTACACAGATGGAATGTGAATAGACACTTTCAGTGGAGCATAATTTGGCACGAGCCATTGAAATTACAAACACACACCTCACCTCCTCTCTAGAAACAAAAACAAAAACACTCTCCTTTCACTCAACTGTTCCCTTTCTAGGAATTCATCCAAATCTGTATTGAAGGGCCTGGGGATATAGCTCAGTGGTAAGCGCAAGGTCGTGAGTTCAATCCCTGGTACCGCAAAAAAAAAAAACAAAAAAAACCAGCAAATCCGTGTTGAAGAATGATGTACAAACCTGAAGAATGATGTGTGAGAGCTACTCAGTGATCCTTATTTATAAAAGCTTGGAAACTCTTGGGCTCAATAATAGGGATATGTTAAAGAAACAGGTATATTTGTTCAAATCTGTCACATATGTTTGTAAAATGTGAGACAAATGGCTCTGCATGTACTGAAAAACCTATTTCTGGGAGACTGTTAGTTGAAAAATGCAAGATACAGAACAATGTTTATAATATACCTCTAATTGCAATTTTACAAAAAAATTTATATACCCGTTTGTTTGTTTGTGTTGAGACGGGGTCTCACTGTGTAGCCCAGGCTGGCCTCGAGCTCACAGTGGTCCTTATGCCTAAGCCTCCTGAGTGCTGGGAAAGATTTATAATTTTAACCATGATTGTTTCTAAAGAGGTAAAGTAAGCCGGGTGTGGTGGCGCATGCCTGTAATCCCAGTAATTGGGAGGCTGAGGCAGGAGGATCACTGCAAGTTTGAGACCAGCCTAGGCCACAAAGTGAGCTTAAGGCCAGCCTGAACTGCAGAGCGAGACCCTGTCTCAAAAAGAAAAAAGAAAGAGGTAAAGTAGATGATAAGGGGGTAAGAGGGACAGTTTTTACCAAATCTCCCTTCTGCATTGAGTTATTATCATGTAAATGTATCATTTGTTCAGATAAATTTTAATCGTTCTTTTCTGGTCTTCATTGTTGTATTCACAGAACCCTATCTGCTTTAGCTCATTGGTCTGCCATCTTTAGTGACACACCATATCTCCCTCTCTTGGCATTTCCATTTGTAAAGTTATTCCAGAATAACCAGCTTATCTGTTTTGAAGTTGTTGCTACTCTCATAAGTAAGTAACTAGGTAATTACTACAGAATGAAACCAAAAATGGATTCTTAGATATTTCCCTGAAGTCTTGCCATCTTTGCGATGTTTGATATTTCTAGTTTTCTCCACTTTTCAGTCAAAAAAATTGTGACACAACCAAGTGAGAGTATAAGGTAGATATTTCAAACATTTATATGTAAACTTTTTTATTTATAAGGAAATTTGGACATTTAAATTTTAGAAGATAAAATTTTAGAAAATGCTGTTGCAGACTAGATTTGGTTAGTGACAGGCTGAGATTGTTCTCTTATTACAAGTCAGTTACTCTTAGGATTGCTCTAAACTTACAAAGCATTTTATACACAGTGCCTTTCTCAGGTCCAGCGTTTGGCTGCTGTGTGTCCTTGTCTTCACCGTGCATGAGCAGCTTTCTGTGTACCAGGCACTGTGCTCAGTGTTTGGCCTTTGTTCACTGAGCTACTCCTCCTAACAGTCCTGTGAAGTAGGCATTATATTCCAGTTTTATAGACTCAGAGGCAGAGCGAACTTCAGTTACCCAAGGGTAGGTGAATGGCAGAGCACACATTTGCACCTGGCAGTCAGGCTCCAAGTCTGTTCCCAGCTGTTGTGTTTACTGCTCACCACCTTCATCTGCACTGAAAAATGAGGCATCATCTTCTTGTAAATCGAGTCTGTTAAACTGCATCCAAATCATAAATAGGTTTGACAAAATAATTTTTATGTATTTTAAAGCACTTACATGTTTTTCTTCTACAAAAGAGATATCCACTTAACTAAAAATAAAATTCTGAAAAGTAGAACTTTAAAAAGACCTAAGTATATCTACTGTGAATATTTTAGGGTATTTCTATACTTTTTGTTTCATGACATGGTTGTATATTGTTATATTGTATATTTGTTTTGTTTTGATGTTTGTACTGATCATTGGAGAAAATATATGAAAGAAAATTCATCAATATTTCTCTATTCCAGAGATATATACATGATAATATACTAATGAATTTATTATAAGCGCATGTCCTCCCAGATCATTAAATATTACTGAAAAATGGTTTATTGCCTACATAATAATTCATCTTATTAGTATACCATAATTTATTCACCTATAAGAATTTTAATTTTCTAATTTTCCTACACATTTTAAAAAGTTCGTTGTAATCATCCTACTTTTTTAAACCATATACATTTCCCTGACTTTTATAAATTTTATGAGTTTTTATTGGCTATAATATTTCTATAGTATGCATGTGCAAGCTTAATCTAATGTTGGACATTGAAGTTATTTCAGATTTTACTTTTAAAAATAACAATGTCATGATCAACCTCATTTGTAAATATAATAATTTTCACATAGACTCCCAGAATTGCTGTTAGTAGCGAAAGCCCCAAAACCATCGTACTGTCTTGCTCTGCCAATAGTACTGTTTTAAGAAAAAAAAAAGTACAATGCAATAAAAAAGAGACAATCCAATTAAAAAATGACAAGAATTTAACTAGACATTTCTCCATAGAATATAGTCAGATGACTAGTAAGCACATAAAGATCACTTAGCATCAGTAATCATTAGGAAATATAAATCAATCCAAGGAAATATAAATCAAAACCACAATGAGATATTACATATTACCTCATACCTACTGCATTACTACATGCCTGCTACAGTGGCTATATTTAAATGAACAATTCTGGATGAGGATGTGGGACTTTGACATACTGCTGGGGTGGGATGTTACATGGTGCAGCCACTATGGAAGAGTATGGCTCTGTGAACACAGAATCTCCACACCATCATCCTCTTTTTCTGGTATCAGTCAGTGTGTCCTTATGTCCTTTACCCATGTTTCTGTTGTAGTGGCACCAAAGCAAAACAAAAATACTTTTTAAATGGCATAAGATTACCATAGATAGCCGAGTTTCTCTCTTGCTAACAAACAGTATTCTCTTAGTGAATATTAAATATGGAGTCAGAGCTTTATAAACTTCCAGTGTCTGATACAAAACAGATGCTTAGTAAGTGCTGCTGGTCCCAGTTTTCCTAAAGTAGCAGTTTGAAGCGGCTGAAATATTTCTTTCCAAGCTTAGTCTTTATGATTGAAATATGAGCTAAAGCACATATTTCAGTGGCTAGTAATACATGAAATATTGGAATTCCAAAATGGAAAGTCCTTATAAACTATCTAATATAATATTCTGCTGATAAAGCCTAGTTTTATTTTTTTGAGATGGATCTTAATAGCAAAGATTGAAACCTAAACTCATCAAGTTGAGCATCTCTGATCTAATAATTTGAAGTCCAATATCTGAAGCTTTTTGAGTGCCAGTATAATACTTTTGGATGTTTAGATTTTAGAACATTTCAGACTTCAGAATTAAGGGTAAAAGTAAAGTCTGCAAATAATTCCAATATCTGAAAAACTCTAAATTTGGAAAAACTTCCCAAATATTTTATGGGTGGTCAGCTTATATTTAAAAATTAAAAAGCAGGATTTGATTAATAAAGGACGTTAAATATAGACTTACTAAGCTAAAGCTGATGATCTTTGGAGAATATTTTTGTGGGTTGCATTGATTACACGGTGCACTTAGCTAGCCATAGAAGATTATGAGTAGAATGGAGTCTACCTTGGACTAACTGACCTTCAGAAAATTGTCACTGATTGGTTTTCAAGTAAAGTTTACTGAAACAAAATGTCATTGATTAATTAGATTGAAAATCAGTTTGTGTGGTTACTTGATACTATGATTGTAGAGCAGTCAGGGAACTTTCTGTCATTTAATGGATGGGGTACAATATGTACATATTTGGTTTTATGTTTTGCTATAAATATGTAAAAATATAGTTTTGAGCATTTTTTCTAAGTTTTGCTTTTCTTTTTGAGACAGGGTCTCACTATGTAGCCCATGCTGACCTCGAATTCATGGCAAATCCTCCCACCTCAGCTTCCCAGGTGCTGGGATTACAGGCATTTACCACCATGCCCGGCTTCCTATGTTTTTCTGATTTTGATTACATATGAATTTTAGTGGATTTGAAGAGACTGCCATGTTAACATTGATCTTGTATAATGAAGGCTTGCATAGGGACCTTTTAAGGAAGGATCTTTTTGTTTATCAGGATCTTTTTGTTACTTCTATAAAACAGAAATAAGTAGGAACCAGAATATCCTATAACTAGGATCAAGAATAGTTTGGAAAGTTTTCTTTGTTTTAATTGACACATTGTTGTTAACTACAGAAATTTTCTGTGTACCTCAGATACTGTATTAACATGATAGAATTTTTTTAAATCTCTTGATCTAGAATTTTAAAATGTATATTTTATTTATTCTGAGGATATATAAGGAGTGTAAACATTTAAGAATTACAAAGTCCTTTTATAATATAAAAAGGCATTTAAAGATAAATATTCTTTTCTTTCCTTTGTAGTCAATTGGTGCCAGTACTGGTTTGAATACTTTCCTAATCCTCCTATCAATATTCTTAGTATGATAGAAAATGTTCTGGCATTTCATGACAAGGAATTACTACAGCACTTTATAGATCACGATGTAACCTCCCAGGTAAGAGGTCAGCTTTCTAGAATAAGGTAACTTATTTGGGGAGCTAAAACTGATCCTGACACAAATAAAACAGTATTTCCATGAGGAGTATAGAAAAAGCATACTGGGGCTGGGGATTTAGCTCAGCGGCACAGTACCTACCTGGCAAGCACGACGTCGTGAGTTCAATTCCCAGTACCAGGAGAAAAAAAAAAAAGAAGGCATACTACATTTGTATTTTAACAGAATTCCATTCTTCTCCATTAAACTGCCTTCCTTGGGGGCTGGGGATTTAGCTCAGCGGCACAACGCCTGCCTGGCAAGCGCAAGGTTGTGAGTTCGATTCCCTGTACCGGAAATAAACAAAAAACGAAAAATGAACTCCCTTCCTGAAAACCTATAAATAGGCTCCAAATTAAGTAGCTCTTTTCATAATTATGTATTGAATAATTTTTGTAGCTTAAATTGCATGTAAGAGAATATTATCAATGACTGTTTAGACTTTTCTTTAGAAAATTTTAAAAAATAATAAATTTTCCTTACTTATTTTAGCTGTATGCATGGCCTCTTCTTGAAACTGTGTTCTCGGAAGTACTGACAAGAGAAGAGTGGCTCAAATTATTTGACAACATTTTTTCCAACCATCCTTCCTTCCTTCTGATGACTGTGGTAGCCTACAACATATGTTGTAGAGTGCCTTTGCTCCACTGTACTTTTAAGGATGATTTTGAGGTAAATGCCCTGTTCCTAAGATGAGTTTCTCGGGTGTGGTGGTGTACACCTGTAATCCCATCACTCGGGAGGCTGAGGCAGGATGATTGCTGTGAGTTTGAGAGCAACCTATGTTACAAAGTGAGCTCAAGGCCAGCCTGAACTGTAGAGTGAGACCCTGTCTCAAAAAAAGAAAAAAAATAGTGTCTCACATTTCAGTTAAAGCATACATTTATTGCTTGAGTACCTATTGCACATCAGGCCTGGTACTAGATGGTAGGAATATAATGGGATAACAGAGTAGACTATATCCCTGACCTTACCTAGCTCATGGGCAGTTAAACAGGCAGTTACAGCAAGCTGTTAGTCTTACAATCGTAGCATCAGAAAAGTCATAATAACGTTGGGGTTTTGTGCTTTTGTTTTCCTACATAAAGGATGTTGAAAGCTTGGGTAGTTGTTTGTTCTGTATATGATCAGGAGCCCTTCTAGTCTTTGATGGTCTGGATGCTTATTACACCTGTAAAATGGTAACTGAGAGTTTTGAGACATGGTAAGAAATGACTAAAAGAGCGTTGGGGCTGGTTTTAAAAAGAAAGATTTTTTTTGGTAGAAAATTGTTTCTGCATGAATATGTGACTTATTTTATGATTCTTGTCAAATTAAACTTTGTTCTCGCTTTATGGTCACGTGATAAATACATGTATATTTTAAATTTTGGGTCTGCCAGCAGAACAAGATAATGTGAAACTGTATTAGGTGTTTTTAGGCAATCAGTCTAATTTATTTTCTAATTAATTTTGGATTTTGAATTTTTAAAACTCCCTGCAACAAGCGATTGCGCCAGTGTTGGTGCATTATTCTTCTGTTCTAAGGGAAGCCTTCATTTTGAATTAAAATATACATAATTTTTATTTCAAAATTTCATAAGTCGTTCTTACATCTTATTGAAGTTTGAAAATACAAATTTTAACCCTTATTTTTAAATGGGTTAATAAAAGCTTCAGTGAATTTACAAAAAAAAAACTTAATAAATTCACATTTAAAGTTTGGAACTCTTGTTTTAATGCCACTTCATAATTGCTTTGTTATGTAAATGTTGATTTAAATATCGAATTTTCTTGCAGTATTTTTTTCACCATCGGAATAACCTGGATATAAGTGTTGTGATTAAAGAAGTTTATCATCTCATGGAGGTCACACCTGCTAATATTCATCCCAAAAGTGAATTGGGAGTTTTTGTTGCACTCACAAAAGGGCAGTATCCAGTATTTAATCAATATCCAAAGTTTATTGTGGACTACCAGACACAGGAACAAGAAAGAATAAGAAATGATGAACTGGATTACTTGAGAGAGAGGTAATCATGGAATATGTCTTGGACAGAAATGGAATCTGTCGCAAACAATTAAGTTTTTAATGAAAAATATATTTAAATCATGAAGCATTTGTGTAAAATCAAAGTTTGAAGGAAATTTGGGTATTATATATTAATTTTGTGTTTTGATTGTTTATGGACTGCATTTCTTAGCTTTCTTGTTTGCATTTTCATAATAATAAATATTGTCTACTTAAGGCAGACAGTAGAAGACATGCAAGCTGAAGTAGACCAGCAAGGAATGGAAGATGAAGCTTGGTACCAGAAACAAGAACTGCTTCGTAAAGCTGAAAAAACCAGAAGAGAAATGCTCTTACAAGAGGAAGAGAAGGTGGTAGAGCAACAGCAGAGGTACATTTCACCACACTGAAAAATCCAGACATTATTCAGCTGAATAATTTTTTTTTCTTCTGTATTCTCATTTAAGAACAGAAGTATATGTAGAACTAGCCAGCTTAATTTCCATTAAGCAAATATTTAAGTTAATAAAAAGAATATATATACTGCTTTTCAAACAATTGATACATAAAAGTATTATTCTAAAACTATACTGATACATAGATATAACTTCACACTGATTATTCAGATGTAATATAAGATCTAATGTACCTTGAAGGACATTATTTAGAAACATTATTCTGTAGTAGGAAGAAGATGCTTTGTTTTTTGTTTTTTGCTTTGGTTTTTTTCCTTTTTTTTTAAATTACTAGTCCTAAAGTCTTACCCATGGCTAGATGCATCATGTAAAGTCTGTCTTTTCCCCCTTTCTTTTCTTGTTTTTTTTTTTTTGTTTTAAAGAGTAAAAGAAGGATAACATAATAATGGAGGGGGGTGCTTACCAAATTACAGACATGGAAGAAAATGCTTTGTAATGGAGTTCTAGGTAAATCACTTTTTGTGAGTATAATTTTTTTTTTTTTTTGAGACAAGGTCTCGCTATGCAGTTCAGGCTAGTCTTGAGTTCATTTTGTAGCATAGGCTGGTCTCGAACTCACAACAATCCTCCTGCCTCAGCCTCCCAAGTGATGGGATTATAGGGGTGTGCCACCACGCTTAGCAGTGAGTATAATTTTTTAAATTGTGTTTTAATGGTAACCATGCAACCTCACAGTGGAAGCATAAAATACATCATTTGCATTTAATACTTTGGCGGACAAAGGAAGAAGTATAAATGTTTAAAAGTATGTTAATAAAAAAAGTTAAATTAATTGAAATTACAGTATAAGCAACTAGACTAAGCCTAATTTGGGGGAGTTCACTTCTCTAAGTATTTACTGATTCTTACTAGGAACTTTATGAAACAGATTCCTAGGGTACATTAAGAAATTACAAAATAAATATACATCGTATTGGGTCACATTGGGCTTTTTTTGGCATTTTTCCTTCGTTTAAAGGATATTACTTGTATTGAGATGCTCTGACTGGTAAGCTTGTTAGAAGTTTGCATGTGAAAAAGATCACCAGTTCCATCTGGACCACTTGCCATCCTCACGAATGCAGCTTGTGCCGTGGGGCATCTTTAATTGATGTAAACACAGCTATATTACAGTGGTGCAAGTCAGTGTGGGAAAGTACTGAAATAACTGGCCGGCAGAACTCACTGTGCAAACATTAGATCTGTCCTGGGAGATGCTTTATTCCTCTTGATGTGTTCTGTGTTTAAGACTAGCTGCTGTGAAAAGAGAGCTGAAAATAAAGGAAATACAATTACAGGATGCTGCTAGGCGGCATTTTCTGAAGCTCCAGCAAGATCAGCGTGAGATGGAACTACAAAGACTGGATGATGCAATTGTGAGAAAGGTTTATTTTTTATTTAGTACTTATAAATCATCTCCACTTATTCTCATTTAATGTAATGAATACCTGCATGTTAAATAATATTCTGAGTCCACAGTGAATACTACACAGTCCCTTCAATTTTGTTTACTTTAACTCTCAAGTATTCTTACTCCTTTTTATTTCATTAATGGTTAAATATTTAAGAAATTCTGGAAAGCTGGCTGTGATGGTGCGTTCCTCTAACCCCAGCAACTAGGGAGGCACAAGCAGGAAGATGGCCAGTTTGAAGCCAGCCTGGACAGTTTAGTAAGATCTTGTCTCAAATATTTGTGGGAGAGGTTACCAGGAATTGAACTCAGGACCTTGCACTTGCCAGGCAGGTGCTTGTGCTACTGAGCTATATCCCTGGCCCTGTCTTAAAATTTAAAATAATTTAAAAGGGCTGAAGGTGTAGCTCAATGGTAGAGGGCTTGCCTAGGATATACAAGTCCTTGGGTTCCCTCTCTTGTAATGCCAAAAAATTTTTTAAAAATATATATCGGGAAAATTATTTAGTTTAATTATGTCCTTGATGACTACCTCTCTAAAAATACAAATGTTTTAAATTCACCATTTTAAATTAATTGTGAATGAAGGAAAATGTTCTTTTTAATACAAAAATTTACACATGGGCAATATAAAAAGAATTTTCCATACAAAATATATAGAATTGAAAGTGGGTCTTTTTATGCTTCCTCATTTCATCTCCAGAGGTAAACTTTTTTTTTAAATGGCTAATTATACAGCCTTTCAGGTATATTTCTACAAATAGAAGAGTAATTATAATCCCATCTTCCTATTGTGGGCAAAGGTATTTATTTAATTAAGTCACCTGCAGAGGCCAGATGCAGAGACAAGGAAGGTTATTGGGGGCCAGCAGTGGGCACTCAGTACATGACCAGCACTGACCCGAAAGGGTGGGAGTGGAGGGTATTACACAGTTCTAGTTCCAGGTCTGGGAGGGGCAGTGCTGATATGATTTAGTGCAGCTACAGAAATACTACAAAGCATGGGCTTAACTTGTGACAAAGGAACAAAAGTGTTAGACATTTTACACAGGGGACAAGCAGTCTTATGACAGAGCATGGGGTGGTATCCAGTTAGGTAGCTATGGCAACATTTACAAGAAACAAGCTTAAGGAAAGAGAAACTTAATCTTTAAAATGGCACTAGAACACAAAATGGTGGTGGTTTAGTTTTCTTTCCCATATTACTATACTTACACAAAATAAGATTTTGTTCTCCCTGTGCCTTTTATTTTTGTACCAAGTTTTTAATTTTCATCAAATATATCTTCATATTATTATATGCATATGTATTTTTTTTTTGTGGTCGTTTAGTATTCCATGGCTAAGTTTACCATAGTTTAATTCTTTGCTATTGGACCTTTAGGTCATTTGGCAGTGTTTTGCAATACAAAGCTATGCTGTATTGTACATTTTCAGTGCAAAAATGGTTTAAACCTGTTTAACCATGTAAGCAGGCCATATACTAGGTACTCACCTACACTCTAGACTGTTCAGTTTCAGAGTGTATCAGTCTTAATATTTGCTAGCCTGATGAGTAACAGAAAAGAGTATTTTAACTTGCCCCATCCCCCTTGGTATTGAAGTTGAATCTCTTCAGTTATCTGTATTTGTAGAATTGCATATTCATAACATCCTTTTTTCTATCAACTTGTTTTTCCTTACTAACTTATGGGGGCTCTGTGTCATTTGGGGCATCATTGTCTAGTAGAAATGCATCATGAGCCGCATAATAATTTTTTAAGTTTACTAGTGACCACACTCAATATAAAAACAGGTGAAAATAAGTTAATAACATTTTATTCCACTAAGTTATTTGCAAATTATCATTTCAACAGGTAGTGATTGATATAAAAATATTATTAGTGGGGTAGTTTACTGTTATGTTCTCCAGTACATTTCATACTTACAACACTTTTAAGTGCTCAACAGCCGTAGGTGGCTAGTGGTTGCCATGCAGTGGAGGGCTGGGACATTAGCCTTTTTGTCTGGTGTAAATGTTTTCTATTGGTCTGTCTTGCCCACCTCTTAAGAATTTTTATTGTGTCATTTTTTTTGTCTTGCAAAATATTTTCATTTTTGGATAGTCAACTTCAGTTTTTATGACTTCCAGTTCTATATCATATTTAGAAAGAACTTCCCATTCTGAGGTACTATTTTACATATTTTCTTCAAGTTTCATGTTTTACTGTTTTTTATTAAATCTTTGCTGTATCTCAGGGATTAGCATACTGCTGTATATTAGCTAAATCTGGCCACCACCTATATCTTGAGGCTCATGGGCTAGAGTGGCTTAAACATTTTGAAAGGTTTTTTAAAAAATCAGATAGAGTCGTACCTGTGGGGGTGTAGCTTGGTAGTAGGGCCCTTACCTAGCTGATGAAAGACCTTTGGTTTGATCCCCATTACCACTAAAAAAAAAGTACTAGTGATAATATTTTATGATGTGAAGATTGTATTGAATTTTTTAAAATATATGTTGAATTCAAACTATAGTGTTCATAAATGAAATTTACTGGAATATATTCACATGTATTTGTTTTCATGCTCATTAGATGCATCTGTACTACAGCAGCATAAGTGAGTGATCATGAAAAAAACTATATATAGCCCATAAAGCCCAAAGTATTTCTCAAAATCTGAGGCAAGAAACGAGTTAGGGACTAAGCTTACTTCTTTCCAAAGGGCAAGTCAGTTGTCCCAAAACCATTTATTGAATATTAGCAAAGTCATTTGCCAACTGGTGATTTATAACATACTGAATTCCCACACACACTTAATCTCTTCCCATGCTCTCTGTTCCTAAGCAGTGCCACACTGTTTGAATGAAAGGAGCTTAGTAGTACCTCATTGTTCTCTGAGGTGAGAAACAGAAAGTATAAATAAGGACCAAAATGCATAATAGATACTGTGAAGTAGGAAGAAAATGTTCAAATGGGAAGGGGAACTAGGGAGAGGGGAGGAGGAAAGAAAGGAAGGGAAAAAAATGATAAGAGAAGGAAAAGTAGAAACAGCTTTTGTAAATAAGGAGGGGAAGAGGGATTAAAGGGGAGGTTAGGAGAATGAGAAGAAAAGAATCAAGTTATATCATGTACAGGTACAAATTCTCTATGATGAATGTGATCATTATGTATACCTAAGATGTGTCAGTAAACTTAATTTTTAAAAAACTAGTTTTGACAAAATGTTAAGTATTTTAGATCTTTTAAAGTATTTTGATTCATTTGTATTAGAAATCCGTTATCACTGTTTATAGCATAATGCTTGTTTTTAAAGCAAATTGATTTTTTACATGTATAATTGTTTTTAATTATCTCATGCAGTGAATCAGGTTAATATTAGATTCTAAGAGTATATGTTCTTCCCCACAAGTAATACAGGCTCAGAAGTGATGTCTTTATTCGAAATCCCTTTAAGATAGGATAAGGCATTCTATAGTCAAAGAACCCTAAAGTCCCATCAATAGCATAGTGAAGCCTCTGCCTGCCCTCCTAGCTACTTTTCTTCCAGCTGCCTGTTGTTGATATTGTGTCCGCCCTGCCCAGCTGCAAAAGCTTCTCTCAGGCTGCAGCAGGAAAAACTGAGTCCAAAGTGCCCTGTACACTGACTGTGGACATCTGTTAACAGTAAGCAGAGTTGATCTGAGTTTGGTTTTGTTTTTTTTTAGTTGATCTGTTTTTGGTATTACATAGCTGTCTATATTTCTGAAAATTTATATGTGAGTTCTGTAACCAAAATTCCTTAAAAGCATAAGCTGTGCCAAACCTTCCCTCCAGCTGTTAGCGTTATCACTACTCTTGTTTATAGACTCAAGCCTCCACACTTCTGAGCTACCTACCTCCTCAAGATGAACTTCTCTGTTTCTTTCAGCCCATGGATATGTTAGGACATCCACTAAGTTCTGATTTATTGCTTTTCATGTTATGGGTAGTATGTCTTTTACTCAACAGTGCCTAACCTACCTTGCGAATGCAAGTAGTAAGGCTGTCGCTAAATGTATGCTGAGTAAATGCACAAATTAACAGGGATAGATGGATAGCTTATATAGTTTTGTTTGGTTGGTTTGGTTTGTTTTGTTTTTTGTTTTTTTTTTTTTTTTTTTTTTGGTTTTTCTCCGGTACCGGGAACCGAACTCACGACCTTGCGCTTGCCAGGCAGGCGCTTTGCCGCTGAGCTAAATCCCCAGCCCCTTGGTTGGTTTGGTTTGAACAAGTATCATGTACTTTTCCTTCATCTCTAAAAATATTTATGATTTTAGGCAACCAAATACTTAAGATGATTTCTACGCCTCTCTCGAGAGTGCTTTGTCCAAACCCTCTAGTATTATAGGAATGAAAAGCTTCCAAGTAATCAAGTCTTGGAGAACAATGAAGCCTAAATTAAGTCTGAGCAGAGCACATGAACAGTTACATAGTACACAGCAACTTTCAGGCTGCAGTTATTAGGTAGTTCCTTAGATTTACAAAAATACAGATTTTTGTTAAAGAACATTAAGTGAGTGTTGCATATTAATACCTTACCAGTTACTCTAGTTTCAAAAACCCAGTCCCTATTACTGTAAATACTGTTAGTGGGTGTTCAGATCATGAGATTACTAAAACCATTAAAAATTACTTCGTAAATTCTCTTTGGTACTCACAGTTTGTTGTTTGGCCACAGGTACAAATGAGAGATCGAGAAATTGCTAGCAGAGCCAAAGACCTAGAAATGAGACATCTGGAACTTGAAACACAAAACAGAGTTCATGAGAAGGTATGATCAATTGATTCAGTGTAAGAAAAACAGGACTGATAAAAGCCCTTTTTCACTGTTTGTTCTTTAATGTTCATTTTACTTTTTAAATAGTATATGAAGTCATCCAGGATTATAAAGTAACTAAAATGTCTGAATGTACAACTTGTTATAATTCTTTAATTCATGTATCTGCAGTTAGTCTAGTGGCTGAAGCACCAGATGTAGGCCTCAGATTTTGCCTCAGGAACAGTTTACTGCATTTTTCTGTTTATGTAATAGTGACAGAGAAATTATCCAATACAAATACAAATTGATTTGATACAGTTCATCAAATGGTACATCAAATTTGATTATCCCTAATCTGAAAACCCCAAATCTGAAATACTCTGATATCTAAAACTTGTTTAATGCTAACATGATGCTCAAAAAGTTTTACATTTTGGATGAAGGATGCTTGACCAGTAAAATCTATATGAATATTCCACAATCCAAAAAACTCACAAATGTGAAATACTTCTGATCCTAAGAATTTCTGGTAAGCAGTATTCACCCAGAACCTTCCAAGGACCTTTATAAGGTCAGTAAGGCCAAAACCATAAAGTACTTTAAATTTGAATCTTGGAATTAACATCAACAAATATCTGAGTTACTATAGATACTTTGGAAAATGCTTTGTTACCCATTTAAGGTCAAGACCATACGTTTTCACTTCCTTCAGCCATCTTAAAGAAGTGAAAAGCAAACTTTAGAGTTTCCATATCATGTGGGATTTTGTCAAAAGCTTTTTCTCTATATCTTGAGATGATGTGTGATTTTTGTCCTTGACTCTGTTCATTCACTGATTTGCATATATTGAACCATCTTAGCATTCCTAGGATGATGCCTACTTGGTAATATGTATGTTCTTTTTAATGATATTTTGCATTCTGTTTGCCAGTATCTTGTTGCTTTTTGCATCTGTGTTCATCAGAGATTGACCTATAGTTCTCTTTTGTTTGGATCCTTGTCTGGTTTTGGAATCCAAGTAATGGTAGCTTCCAGGAATGACTTTGGGAGTACTCCTTCCCTTTCAGTTTCATTAAAAAGTTTGAGTAGTACTGATGTTAGATCTTCCCTGAAGTTCTTGTAGAATTCAGCAGTGAATGCATGAGGACCTGGGCTTTTCTTAACAGATAGGTTTTTTATTGTTGCTTCAATTTTATTGCATATTATTAGGTTATTCAGGATTTTTATATCATCTTAGTTCACTTTTAGTTGCTCATGTATCTAGGATCTATCCATTTCTTCTAAATTCTTAGATTTATTGGTTTATAGTTTTGCAAAGTAGTTGCTAATACTCTTCTAGATTTGGGCAGTATCTGTTGTTTCACTTTTTTTATTTCTAATTCCATTAATTTGGGTCTTTCTTTCCTTTTTAGGTAAGAGTAGCTGTTTGTCTGTTTTGTTTATTCTTTTGAAGAACCAGCTCCCATTTATTGCTTTTCTTTTTATTAATTTTGAGACAGGGTCTTGCTGTGTAGTTCAGGCCAGCTCTGAATTCACTGTGTAGCCCATGCTGCCCTCAAATTCTTAGCTCAGCTTCCTGAATCCTGGAATTACAGGTATGCAATTCATGCCCATCAATTCATTGATTCTTTGTTTTCTTTAGTCGTAATATCATTGATTTCTGCTCTGGTCTTTATAATTTTCTTCCTTATACTCGTTTTGGATTTGGATTGTTCTTGTTTTCCTAGGACCTTGTAGTACATCATTAGGTTATTTATTTGTGCTCACTCAGTTTATGACATTCGCTGCTATCAGCTTCCCTCTTAGGACTGCTTTCATTGTGTCCCATCAATTCTGCTATGTTGTACTAGCATTACTGTTTAATTTTAGGAACTCTCTTGTTCCTGTTTCATCCTTGACTTCTTCCGTGATCCATTGATTGTTCAAAAGTGTGTTGCTTAATTTCCATGCTTTTGCATTTACTTAAGCATGCTTATTGGCTAGTATGTGATCTACTTTGGAGAAAGTTCTATGTGCTGTGGAGAAGAATGTGTATTCTGTTGTTAAGTGGAATACCATAGATGTCTATTAAGTTCTTTTGTTCAAAGTTCTTTTGTTCAACTCTGATATTTCTGTGTTGATTTTTTTTTTTTTTTTTTTTGGTCTAGTAAATATTCTATTTATGACAGTAGAATATTGAGGTCTCTCACTATATATATTGATGTTTATCTGATCTTTTATGTCTAGTAGTGTTAGTTTTATGAAGTTGGCTCTGCCACTGTTCAGTGCATGTATGTTTACATTTGTTCTCTCTTCCTGTTGAATTGTTTGCTTAACTAATACGTGCTGACCTTCTTTGCCTCTTTTGATCAGTTTTGGCTTACTGTCCACATCATCTGGAAAAAAGATACATACTGTACTCCTGCTTGTATTCAGGCTCCTGTTGCATGGAATATTGTTTTTCATCCTTTGATTTTTAGTCTGTGAATTTCTTTTTGGGTTAAATGTGTTACTTGTAGATGGAATACCATTGGATTTTGTTTCTTGATCCATTCTGCCAATATGTGTTTTTCAGTTGGGGAATTGAGACCACTCACATTAATCATTAGTAATGAAATGTATTAACTTACTCCTGTCATTGCATTATTTTCCTGTTGCTGATTACCTTTCTTTCCTTTCTGTTTAACTGCTCACCCTACCTATTGTATGCATTCTGATAGAGCTTTTGGCACTATTCACTTCATTGTGTCTTTCTAGATATCCTTGAGAAGTTTTTGGAGTGCTGGTGTTCCTTATTTCTCCAGCAGTTTTGGAAGATAGTTTTACAGGATGTATCAGGCTGGTATAGAAGTTGTTTTGTTCTAGGGCTTGAAACGCTTCACTTAAAGCTCTGCTGGCCTTTAAGATATGTGTTAAGAAGTCTGCTATAATTTTAATGGGTTTGCCTTAATAAGTGACTCACTGCTTTTCTCTGACATCTTTTAAGGTTCTCTTGTTGTCCTTGACTTCTGGGAGTTTGACTGTAACTTGCCAAGAAGGGGTTCTTTTCTGATGTGGCTGTTTGGTTTTCTGTGTGCCTCAATCATTTGTATATTAAATTCGTTTCCCATATTTGAAAAGTTTTCTGCTATTATGTCTATAAAAAGCTTTTGTTTTAATGTCATTTGTGCCGTCTTCTGATTTTTCACTAATTGCATTTAATCTTAATCTTTGCATCATCTAGCAGTTGTTGGATCCGTTTTTCATGTTCTTTTGTTCTTATAGTATCTCTGAGTGATTGGTCACCAGCAACAGCCCTTTCATTCTGATACACTCTCTTCACATTAGCTCCTTCTCCTGCCCATACTTTCAGTTGAATTTTCTGTTTGGTACCCTTTTATGAACTCTTAATTCTTTCTAAACTCGATATTCATGTTTTGTATTATTCTGTTTACTTCAGCTAGCTTTTTATCTGTGTCTTCTGTAAACTTGCTTATTGTTTTGTTTATTAGATTCATTATCTGTTTAGTTACATCTTCTTTGAGATCACCAAGCACGTTAATGATCTGTTTATCTCCTGTCAGTGTCTGTGAACATTTCAGAGTGTTCAGTGCTATGAGTAGCCCACTACAGCACAAATGCCATGGGTTCCCCACCACTATCCTGTGTTAGCCTTTCAAATAATTCACTTTGTGGTTTCTGACTCTCCCCTCAACCGCATCTCAATGCTCCAGGGAGTTTTGGTGGAGTTGGGAGTTTTTGGAAACATTGTATTGCCTTGCTTTGCCATGTTTCTATTTTTTGTTTGCTTTTTGTGTTGAAGCTTGCAACTTGACTGTAATGGAAGACTCTGTTGCTAGTATGGAGACTTCTTTAGTTAGTGTCTACTTTTCAGTGATGCAATCTGGACCTGGCTAATATGGGCTTGGCCAACTATGGGATTTTCCCTCTGTCCAAGTCTTACTTTCTGCGTTACTGAGACAAAATACCTGACACCCAAAGTTAAAGGAGGAAAGGTTTATTTAGCTCACAATTTGTAGAGGTTTCAGTTCATAATTGGCTGGCTCCAAGGCAAGGTGGCATGACAGAAGAGAAACAGTTCCTGGCAGGCACAAGGCAGCAAAGCAACAAAATAGTGAACCAGCAAGCAACAGGTAACAGCAGCTGCATCCCACTGCCCCTTACATTCTATCCAGGCTACATGCCTTTAGAGCAGGTAGCACCCATGCCCAGGTTGGGCCTTCTGATAATCCACATTTATTTAGTAGTCACACCCCCTTAATCCCAGCAGCACACGCTATGGATTCAGCCACCTCTGAAAAGCCCCACCTATGACCACATGAGGCTTTGGGGGACATCAAGACAAGCCATGACACCAAAAATCTAGCCACTTCTATTTATTTGGGAGGAGAGGCTGCAGTGTGTTTGGCCCAGCATACAGTTCCCTAAGAGAGGGCCGCAGTACTGTCAATAACACAAAGGCAGTCAGACACTGGAATACAGAGAAAACTGATTAATAGCAGCAACTCAGTTGGGTTGCCTACAGTAGTAAAATCCACAGCAATAACAGCATCAAAGACAAACTGGACAGTGACATATACTAAGAGCCAATGATATACCACCCTTAACCACAGAAAGGAGATCTGTAATTATAGTTAAACACTAAGACAAACCAAATATTGACCTACAGTAAATATCTCCTAAGTGGAGCAACTATGCCTCCACTGACAGTAGACAGTATTCTACAGTAATAGCATAGAGTTAGAGTTTCATAAAACTTAGTGGTTATAATAGGAAAGATAGAAGGGAGGGGAACCAAAGAATGAGAAAAGTAAAATTTGTTTGTTTCTTTGTTTGTTTTTATTTTAAAGATAAAAGGAGGGAAACATTAACAGACATACAACATTTTACAACATATCACAAGC